TAAGAAATATCTAGCTTGATTTTATTTTATGGTGAGAAGAGCAATAGAAATGTTTATAAAACAAATAATCTGAAGTTTCACACAGTATAGAGCGGCATTACAGAGCTTGCTGCCTGAATATGTTGGGTACAAAACTGCACAAGTTTAAGAAGCAATAGAAAAGTATATCAAGGCCTGTTAAAAGGTCATGATAAGGCTTTTGACTTCAAAGTTCAGTTCCAAGTTCAGATCTTGAAAAGCTGGATTTAAGTACTAGGAAATTATTTCCTCTGAATTTAATTGCATCCCACCACAAATCATCTATTATTCTTAAAACATGAGATACTGGATTAAAGAGATCTTTGTCATTGGATGACAGTTCTTTGCTCTCTTATAACAAGAAATGGATGAGATGGTATATCCATGTGCTATGGTGGGTTTTTTTTTTGTTTTTGTTTTTTTTTTCTGTGTGCTGTCAAGACTTAAGCATGATTCTTGGGATATAGATTGGAGCATCAAAATGCGTTTTTTTAATAGCTATTAATAGGCTCGTTGGAATTTCAAACCTGTCAGCCAATGACAGCGTCCCATGATTATACTTCAAAATTAGCAGATGATGAATAATTCCTCAAATTCCACGAGAACTACTGTCACTAATGTTTTAACTATTTGATCTTGATATCATCCTTTATCAAATGGACTGAAAAAACCTGCTTTCAAAATACATAGTCCAGTCAAGCGTACTTTTTCTTATTATTTGCTGATTGGTCATATTGTAACTTACAAATAGGAGTCAACCCCCAAATAATTGATAATAATTTAACAGCATTTAGCATAAAATCTAGGTAACAGAAGTAGTTTCTCTAGAAGCAAGAATCTGTCATGCCATCTCTCTGTTCTGGGGAAAAGGCTTATATGACTAACCTCATTTTATATAAAAGCATGATATGTCATAGGTACACCACGTTTACTTCAGGACAGCCTGGCTCTGAGCATTTTTTCTTTTCCAGAACCCCTCCATTTCAAAAACCTTATGTTCTCTTCTTTTGCTGTTTCCCTGGCAACATGGCATGGCAAAGTGTCATATCAGTCGACAATGAGCTTTGCTTCAGCTGTGTCCTGCCAAAGCTAGCAGTGCTTCCAGCAAGCTGAGCTTTCTCACTGCAACTGTGACATAGCAATGAGCACTTCTTTCCATTCTTGTTTGCCAGAACCAGTTGCTATTCCACTGCCATAAATGATTATGTGGTAGTTGATAATAGTGGGTAGGGAAGTCATTGGACTTATCGGAGTAGGCTAAATTTTATAACTCCTTTTATTACCAGGTGTGGTCTATCTAATAGCATGAATTCTGGCAGTGACACAGAAGGTGGATCTAGCAGCAGTTTGCTCTGCACGTTTAGTGCTTTTCATAGATCAAATGGAAATAGTAATTAAAAATCTTAAGCCAAACTAAACCACAAAAAGAAACCTCACCACAGCGTATGTGGAATAAGGAAAATAATATTAACTGGATCCTAAAAAATGTGAGAGGTTAGTAAAGAGGCTAAAGGTGTGGGAGAAAAATAATCCAAGGCTGAGAACACTAAATGCAACATGGCTGTGTCTGAAATATCCTGGAGACAGTGTGCTGCAGAGCATCTGGCTCGCTTTTGCTATCCAGAAATCCAGACTGAGACTTAAAGCATTTCAAAATGTTTGTTCAAAATAAATTGCCCAGTACCCATTAGTGTGTAAGTATCTGAAGTATCTGAAAAAATATTCAATAAAGATAAGAATATAAAACTAAGGGATTGGTCAGATAAATTTCAAATTGAAATAGCAGTTCTCTCTGTTTTTTCTCATAGAGGAGTCCAGTAAGTTCCAGATCTGTGTAAGACAAGCAGTAGGATCGCATGTACAGAAGCAAAGAAGAAAATTGAAGGGTAGATGACTCAGATGAGTATTTTGATATGTCAATTGTTAGAGCAGGGGAAGTCATCCTACGTCACTAAAGTTTGCTGTAAGATTTGTTAAATGTCTATTTGGGAAATAAAAATAGGAATGTTGCACTGTTGTATTTAAAAGGAAGACATCACAAATCTCTTTATCTGCATTTGACTGAATACCGGATTTTATGAAATATTTGGGGCATTAAGTAAGAAAGAATTAACATTACCTGCCACTTTCTTTTTCTCCTGTGTAAGTCAGAGAACAGGCCAATAGGATATGAATAATTTCTTCTCTAAATGGAATTTCCTTATAGACTAGAATCATAAAATTATCTGTGACTAAACTTAGGTTCACAGTCAGCTTATACTTTTTTCTGGTATGAAAAATCAGGGATGCATAGTAGAGCATGGTTAGCTTTAATTCTTACTCTTATTCCTGCCTTCTCATTTCAATAATTATTAGCAATTGCTTTTTGACACTCTTTTTTAAGTCATAAAGTTTATGACAGTGAATTATTCATTATCTTAGAAGATGTTAGAAGAGCAAGTGAAAGATAAGGAATGAAAAGCTTGTGCTTGGTAGAAATATAAGTAAAATAGAAATTGTGGGAAATATTGAAATTCATAAATTCCCAAAGGAAATACTAGAAAAAAATGACTATAATGTAACTTTATAATTTAATTTGTACAAATAGATGAGAAAAAGAGTAAGAAAGAATGGTGTAGTAAATTGTTCTGCAAAATCTACAGTTAGATGATGAAAATCATTCTTTTTATACCATTGTATGTATTTTAATATTTGAGGGCTTTGTTTTACTGGGGAATAAGGGAAATGCTTTAGAATTCCAGCAGATTGGGTTGTAAAAGTTGATTTCATTTTAATAACAATATTTTTCAAATAAAAATGTGAATGAGAATATTATTACCACTGATTTTAACATGAGCAAAGCCAGGTTCTGGATTTTAATTGCTTACTTTGCATTCTTCAAATTAATACTTCTGTACTTCTGTCCTCTTTGCATTCATCATTTGCTGTGAGGAAACTGGCAATTGTTATTAGTACTAATTTTCAATCTAGCACATTTTCAATGGTTTCCTTCATTGCTGCATAAATTTTGGATGGTATTGTGTTGGGAGTCTTTATTTCTGATTCATAAAATTGACTTTCTTATTTAGGAATAGTTTTATATTCATTTGGTCAACGTATAGGAACAATATAATAGGGAAGCTCTGGCTGCAGAGGAGGAGAAATTGAAGTGCCACGTAATTCCAGATGAAACACTGGAGCTATCAGCTATAAACATATTTACAAAGAGAACAGAACCTAAATGCAAGACTATTTCATTTGAAAAGCAGAGAAAATAGTTTCACAGAAAATAATGTGCTCATTTCTATACGGACAAGTATTTATATTTGGTGATGCGCACATTATTTCCTCTGTCCTCTCTTTTTATTTCTTGTATTCTTCTCAATCCTTTTCAATTGCACAGTTTCATTATGCATAGCTTATTGACTTTATGAAAAGTACACAACAAACTTCTACAATCTTCATTTTCAGTGCAATTTCTAGGTAGCCTAAATTTATCTTAAATCTTTTAAGATTCTAGGGCATACTCATTATGAAACATTCAGTGATTTCAAAACTGCTTGATGGATGCTTTATTTTATTCTACTGTTTCCCTGTTATGAAGACAATCTTCCTCTGAACATTGGGGAAATTCAGCAGTTGTCTAAAAATACAAGTTGGAAACCAAAAAGTTTTTCTAGGAAATAGGTCTTAGGGCTATGATAACTGCACTGTTCTTTAAAATAAAGATGTGAAGAGGTATCTCTGCCATCTTCCCTACACAGGTGACAATTAGAGCATGTGGTATCCCTGATGATACTATAGGTTAGAGTTTAAGTAAATAAATTACCATCTTTTATAAGTAGCTGTGTAATATGACTGACATCTAGAAATGCACATTCCAGAATGAGCGATCTTGCTGTTGCTCTCTAAATCTCCAAACAAATTTACTCAAAGTATCTTATTTCCAATAGTTGTTTTGTGTCCTGGTGTTCTGTCTGACAACTTCATTGATTTAACTTTGGGTTGCTAGACAGAGAGACACAAACCATGTTAGACTAAACATACAACATACCATTAACGTAATTCAGACATCTGTGTTCATCAGACTATAAATGAAATTCAGCTCATCTAAACCCTTAATATTTGTGTTAGTGAGATGTTGTTGATTTGGTGTTGGTATTTATATTTTATGCTTCCATTAAAAAGCCGAATTCCCAGAGCTGAGTCCAGAGTTGCTGTATTACAATATAGAATTGTATATGAAAGGATGTGGGTTTAATAAATTTTCACTATTAAACTTCACAGAAAGGTGCTTTTAAAATGGCTTATCTGTACTGATGATGCAACAACAGATTTTAAACTTCTCTGTATTATGTTCTTCTCTGTGTCATAAAACCCTCATCTCAGATGCTTCCTGATTGTTCTATCATCTTGCGTCAGTGGCTTAATCTTCCTTGATCTGTCTTGCTTTTCTCAGCTCCAGATGCATATAGCTTATAAAAAGAAATTGTCTTGAAAGAGATATTTAAATATTTTTTCATTGTGGAAATGTCTCAGGATATTTGTTGCATGCAGAGCTGAAATAATAGCTTTAACAGACTTGTATATTACCCTCTCCTTGAATGTCATTTAAAGAAAGATTTACCAAGAAACATGTCAAAAGCCATGCTGATTTTATTAATAAAAGCTAATAAACGTTTTGATGGTTCATAAGTGGTATGCACAGGTCACCTTATGCACAGGTCTGCCTTACGCTTTGAGAGTGTTTTGGGAGCAACTTCACGCACGTAAGTCAGTACAATGTTCTTGGTATCTTCTGCTTGAAGTGACGATGCTGTTTTGACATACTGAAGTGTTTATTTTTGTTTGTGTACTTTAAAATACTAACTATCTATGTAGTATATATTTTAATAGTGAGCTTAAATACCGTCTTTTTTTTTTTTTGTCATAGATTTTTTTGTTTTATTGTCTTTATACTAGATATAATACAGTTCTCCATGCAGTGGCCACTGAAGGAGGACTGGAGCTTACATTTTAAATTAGAAAAGCTAACCTGGTAGGATAAAAATGCCCATTTATTCTGTTAGAATAGTTTCAGTAGTGCTCAGTATAAATCCATATATTTCCCTATTCCAATTATATTTTATATGATTAAAAGAATGTTGAACTTTTATGACTGTTTTAGTACATTAAATATACTTAGAGCTTAAGTATGGGATGTGGTGAGAGTTTTTTTTGTCAGAAGCTCTTTTTGTAATAAATGTAGTAAGTGAAAGAATTGGAAACCATACAAATGAGATTTAAAAATTAAATAGTTTATAGTTCCTCAATATTCTTTCAGTTACCCTACCTTTTCCATACCCCCTTCCTCCTCTCCTGGAGTGGGGTCCATGGATCCCCTCCAACCCATTAGTCACAGAACTGGGCTGAACCAGCCCAAAAACCTTGACAAGAAAACAAGAAGATTACTTGGCTTTGTATTTTTTCACCTTGTTGTATTTCTGTTTCATTTGTTCGTGCACTGAGGTAGTTATTCCACAATTGTTCTCTAATATTGCAACAGAATTACAAAAAGGAGTACAGATGTTAAAGAAAGAAATCTAAAATCTGATTGTAGCAGACCCCTTATGCAGAGTTGATAGCTGGTGAAAGCAGGTGCTAGGGTGAAGAGAAGAGAAGCATGCAGATCCTTGCCAGCACACAACATAGAGCCATTGCTAGGTGATCTCAGGAAACCATCTTCAAGTTTTCAAATAGATAACCTCTATTGGTGCAAGGGAAAATAGCAATGCAGGCTGTTTCTTCACCAGGTTTATTTGCAAAGTATGAAGAAATCCTGTTGGTTGTGTGGGTGGAAGAAAGATTTTTTTTTTTCCCCCTGTGCTTTGATTATTTATGTGATACAGTTATCCCCACATTGTGCAAAATAGCAGAGACCTGATTTTAATCTTATTAGGTTTACTATGTATCAATCTGCTTCATGCATGGCTTAGCAATAGCTTGATGCTAGCATAGCCTTGGCAACAAGTCTAATTTAGTTCCAAACTTTTTTTTCTCCTTTCTTTCTCCTGTACTGCTTACTGACATTCTCCAAAATGAAAATATCAGTATAATATATAAAATATAATTTTGCTGCATCAGTTTACTGATCTCATGAAGAACACATGTGATGGCATAACAGAAGAACATTCAACAGTGCTGTACAAGTAGGTAATTTCTGAGTTTCATGGCAGTGTCTAGCATACTAGGGAGCTATGGCCTAACGCTATGGTATTACAATTTGTCATTGTTCAGCAACTGGCCTAATATTAAATACGCCTCCACATAATGTTTCCAGTGCCCTTGCAATACAAGATTAATTTTTATCATGTTATGAAAACAAGGATTTTGAAGCAAATTCATGTGTCCTTGGTAAGGAACAGCTGTGATTGCAGCTAGATTTTAGCACTGAGACTTTAAACATCGTGTATCTGTACTTCCAAGTTAAGTGACAGATTTCATCTTCAAAGATTAAAAAAGGAAGTACAAAAGTACGATGTCAGAGAAAATGAAAAAAAAAATTAGAGGAAATTGCAGAAAATAGTAATTAAAAGACAAATTTAAAAACTCTTTTCTAAATGAGACCTGAAAATACAGGAGATATATTTGTTTCTGTGGATGTTTAGATGTAGGTCATTGGGTTAATGTAGGTCACTCTAGAAGTAATGCTTCCTATTTATTTCCACGGAAATAGATACAAAGAGCAAATTCTCAGCTAGAACACAGTTTTTTATCATAATCACCGCCATCAGCTAAGCCTTGTTGCCAGCAATGAGGAAGAGCCTGGATGCTGCACTTGTAAAAATCTGCACAGTGGAGCTGACCTACCATTGCCACCACTGAAATGCACACCCATCACCTCACTGTGCTGACATCTGCTGTTGGGTCTCCATCAACACTCAGCAAGTGTCAATGTATGTCACTGGGTGCAAATTTATTTAATATGGAGAAATTCACTTATGTACCTTTTGCTTCGTACACACTTCCATGTCAGACACCATTTTGTCAGACTGCCCCTCTGCTGCCATCTGTCACATGGCAACAAAAGGTAATGGAATGCTGGTGGGAAGGTTCAATCTCTATTGCATCTCTGATGTGTTGAGTCAACATAATAAAAAATAGGAGGCATTGCAATCAGAGCAGCCCTCGTATATCTCTGCAATTCCAAGGGAGAAAATGGTGTAGTAAGTTGTAGAATGAAAGAAATGGCAGTATACAATGAAAAATAATTATTCAGTCTCTTCTCAGTCAAGTTGAAAAATACCATTTTATAAAAATATTAGAGGCTTAAATTGTATTTTCACCTTCATCCTGTTATCTTGCTTAAACAGCTCTTGCTGTTTTAATCTGCAGTCAAGACTGGAGCTATTAGTACCCTGAGTGTAATTATACCTTCTATGTATTAGTAGAGGAAAGGGAGAAACTATAGAATACTGAGTGTTCACATTTCTATGCTACATAGTCAAAAAATAAGCTGTACACTTCAGCAACTATTAGATACCACCCTCTCTCCTCCTCCAACAATTAATGCAAAAGATTGACATCTATTGAAAAAAAAAACCGTAGTTTGAGACTAGAGTTCAGCTGCATGCTGATTCTTGATGGTTGTAAAGAGGTCCTTTAATGAATTCCCTTTGAGCTGGTAGTTAAATAAAAGTTGGATGGAGGTTAAAAGGAATTTGTTCAGTTTACTCCTGAGTAAAAAGCAGCAATGCAGCTTTTCAAAAATATTACCAATGCTATTCCGCTCAAGAGAAAATTTAGCACAGAAAGACCACAGTGAATCAAAGAAATGTCACCCTCAGGGAATACAAAAGCCATTCTGTGCTCAAATCATACAATTTCTTCCTCAAAACATGAATATTTAAAATAGAAAAGTGCATTGGCAGAAACACTGTGAATAAGTGAAGAGAGCACTGTAAGAAATCAATTTTTTTTAGAAGTACCCTTACTTAAAGAAAAATTCTACAAAGTCAATTTTGGGAGCCTGACTGATAGTACTGGAGCTTAGTTCTGCCTAAATAACGATTGCAAATCGCCATCCTAAAGTGTATATCCTCTCAAGATGCAAATCAGTGCTCATCCCATGAGATCCACTTCACTGACTGGTCTTCCACCAGACACAATTTGAAAAAACAGTGTTTTTTTAGTAATGAAATATGCAGAGATGTTCTTGTATCATTGCCATTTCTGGAGAGAGAATGATTAAAGCCCTTCCTGTAAACCATTTCTCAGGGATAAAGGACTACAAGGAGTGCTGGCACTTTTCTAGAAGCTTCTTAAAGCTGAGTAGCATAAGGTAGACACATACAATTGAACTGTAGATGTATTCTTCCATGTTACATAGAAAAATCATGGCCCAAGACACTTTCTTTACTTTCTAAATCTAATCTAGAATTTCTTCTAGATTAACAAATTATTTGAAAATGTTTAGCTTTATGGCTTTGAATTATGTTGGATGAACTTTGACATTGAAAACCAAACACAATCTTTTGTTGTGCATTTAAATATTGACTTCTTTACAAACACACAGTTTTTGCCTATCATAAGTAAATGCACTTTGATGATTCTACCATGTACTCAAAATGGCAAAAATTAACACCTTATGTCCTGGGAAGCAAAAGATAATGGACAGGTTATGGGGATAGAGGCAGCAGAGGTTTTGTTCAATTCTATACAGTGTATGTATTTCATAATGTACAGATTAAAAGGTAGTGACATAGTTACTGTTGCACGGAATAGATTATTATTACATCAGCATAGCAGTTCTGAGAGTCCACAATGTACATTGATTCCGTAGTTTATATTGAAAAGTATTACAAATGGCATCTGACATGGAAGTGCACATGAAGCAAAGGTGTGGCATTGAATTCCTCCACGTGGAAAAACTTTACCAATTGAGATTCACTGACACTTGCTGGACATTTATGGAGACCAAATACTGGATGTGAACACAGCAAGGCAGTGGGTGGCTTATTTCAGTAGTGACACCATTAGAGCAATGAGTTACCTCTGCTGGTGCAGGCTTTTATGAGCATAGCACACAGGCAGTTGTTCATCACTAGTAAAAATGCACAGCTAGTGGTGGTGATTATGTTGAAAAAATAGTGTTTTCTAGCTGAGAATTTGCTCTACTAAATAGTATTATTGTGTGCTTTTTTTTGGTTTTACTTTCCGTGGAAATAAGTAGGAGGCATTACTTTCAGAGCAATGTACATAATGAACATGCTTATTGTTATTTGAAATGGAGTAGACTTGGTCAAAGGAAAAACAGAGCACTAATCACTGCTTCAAAATGTGTGAATGATTTCTTGTGTAAACTGCTGCAGGACCTGGATTACTGACAGTGGCACCTGAGAAGAATATAAATATTTATTAAATGCATGGGCTGAGACTAAGCTGGAAAAAACAAGTGTTTGAATGTGAAAAGGGAAAGGGAAGCTTGTCATAAAGTGTGTAAATAAATAGATGTAGAAATGCAAATATATACAAATGCCCACTTTAAATTGGAAAATTTTAAATGCAGCTTATGTAATTTCCATGGGTCTGCTCAAACATCATGTTTATAAAATGATTTTCACTTTAAAGAAGTTTACTTTGGGTTTAAAGTTTTAATATATTGGCTGTTGACAGCAACTAAAGTATTACTGTTTCAAGAAACATTCCATTTATTATTAGAGAAAACATTTTTTAGTTGAAATGTGATCATTAGTATAACATGTGCCTCTACTGCAAGTTTAAATCATCTCCTCTTTCCTAGAGAGAGATTTCAACTTCCAATGGGAAAATCTTAGAAGCTTTTTATTTCTTGTTACTCAGGGAGAACGTGCACTCCAAATAACATAAATCTGACCCATGGAGAAGCCTGGAATTTACCAATTACTCCTGTTCTCCCTCTGAAGATCTTCTGCCTATTTTCCCTAGAATGTGTCCACTTAGACATATGAATAGTATAGATGATCATTTGGAAGCCCTGATCATCCTCTAATAGTACCAAATTTTACAAGCATCTGTAAAGTACAAGTTTGAAAAAGAAATGGAGCCAGAAGAATGAAGTTAGGAACACATTTAGACTGTAAAACAGCACGGATACAGGATGAGGTGGAGAAGTATTTAAGTGATCTGGTGAAATAAAATAAGAGTGAGTAAATGACAGAATGGTGTTGTTATAACCTTATTCTCAACTTCTTGTTTCTGTATATTTTGATTCAGGCTCTGTAGCAATGTTAATTTTTCCACAGGTTTTCTGGCCCTGTTCAATGAATATTATGGATTTTCTGTGATTAATGAGGGCTTATATGATAAATAAGACTGTCAACTGTAGGAACACTGCCATCATCTGCTTCAGAGGGAGGAAAACGTGAGATGAATGAAGCATAGGATTGTAGGAAAACAGAATGTTTGTATGATTAAAGAAGTTTAGTCCCACTGAATAACTGTACTAGATATCTCTGTATGTCTGTGGTCCTTTTTGGTTGCAAATCAGTTTTTTAAATAAACGCTTTCATGGGTAATTCTAAATTCTTCCTTCCTTTTCTCTAAGGTACCTAATCTGATACCTTGATTTGATTTGTAGAAGGTCTGATAACTCAGAGCTACAGCAGGTATCAGTGAGAACTTCAAAAACCTGTTAAAACTTCGTTAAATATAGAAAAGCATGTGCTGAGAAAAGAGGTTTTAAGTGCCTAAACTGGGTATCTAGAATTACTGGGTCCCTTCTAACTAATTTCTCCTTTTGTAGTTTCCTATTTCTAAATCATTGTTAGCGGTACCTCTTAATCTGACAACATGCTGGGAAAACAAATGTAGCCAATGAAATACTCAGATACAGTAATTATAAGCTTGAGGAGAAACTAGTAATTCTGTCTTTTCAACAGCTCATAAATAGTAATTTTATAGTAAAGCATAAATCTATAGAATGAGTAGTGACAGTAAAGGAAAATATTGACTGGCATATGAAGAAAAAGAGGTGTTTATGCAACACGTGAGTTACATGAATAATATTATATTGAAAATAATGATTTCAGCATTTGACATTTGAGCATTTAATTTTACAACCTTTATGTTTTCTAGCTTACATCCTTCTTGTTTTATATTCTCTTGTAAGTTCTTGTAAGTTCTTAAAAGAACTTAACTTAAGAAAAAGAACTTAACATTGAATGCCTGGAGGCATTCAAGGCCAGGCTGGATGTGGCTCTGGGCAGCCTGGTCTGCTGGTTGGTGACCCTGCACATAGCAGGGGGTTGAAATTAGGTGAGCATTGTGGTCCTTTTCAACCCAGGCCATTCTATGATTCTATGATTCTTAAAGTAACTTCTTTTTCTCCATGAAATTTTAATTATTTTTAGGAGTGCATCAAATAAATACAGATGATATATCATAATTTTATCTCAATCTCTCTATTTCATACTTCTGTGTATTTGTGGTGGTCACTAGTTCCTGGGAAGTTCATTTCATATTCTCTGATTAAAAAAAAAAAGGCTTTTTTCTGTTAACATGGATAGGAAAATACATTGTTGAACAGCCAGTAGAAAGTGGACTTCTAACATGATCTATGATTGTAATCTTACAGCTCTGTTATGAGGAATTATTACAATAGATTTTCTATGGAAAATAGTGTGTGGGGAGGTCATACTTTAGGTTTTCTGTCAAATATGAGTTATTAAATGTATTTGGTTTTTGTTTTTGTTTTTGTTTTTTCAGAAACTGTCATTATGATAGAGTTTTTTATTATTAGTAATCTTTAAAGTTTTGGTTTTTTTTACCAGTATGCTTGTAGCATTCATTATGGTAACTGTAAATGAAAAAATATATTCTATAATTCTAACTATACGTGGAGAAAACAGTGTGATTCTCTTATACAGGTGAGGCATTATTTCACTTCATTTAAGGCAAGTGGTTGCTTTGGTGACAGACCTTTGGGCTACTCTAAGGTGAAGTGAGCCTGACAGAAAACAAAGCAGTCAAGAATGGGTATTCAGAGAGGCCAGAACTACATTCTTTGACTATTTCCTTTTTATCCTACATCATCAAAAGAATAGTGACAGCTAAATATAGCTCTTTCCAGCAGAGGAATAACCCTTGTACTTAAATTCTCCCCTTTGGGATGAAAAGTTTGAGATCTGCATAAAACTGAATACAGAAAATTGACTTCTCATTTATGGTTTCAATGATAAATATGTTCTTACAATTCATGGAATTATGGATTGGCCAGATGTGATCTCTACAGGTCATTTATTATCACATCCCAAATGAAGCTGGACTATTGCCTGCAGTAAATCAGGCCAGCTATAACTTTATCTAGCTGAGGGAAGAAAACAACTACAGATGAAGATTTCATAAAATTTCGAGTCTTCTGCTGATGTTTTTCTCCCAAATTCTAATCTGAATCTTCCAAGCTGCAATTAGTGTTCACTGCCACTTGCTACTTCATGTGATGCTGCTGATAAGAATTTATCTTCATCATCTTTGTAATTATGCTTCAAGTAATTGAAAGTTTTTATTAGATCAACCCATAGCCACCTCTTAGCCAGTCTAAATAAGACAAATTCCCTCATCCTCTCCTTGTAGGTCAGTGCAGTGTTCAATTACTTGCTGCTTAGGCTCGGAAGGCTAAGATACTAAAGTTAAATGTCTCGCATGGTTATATCCAGTGGATTCAATTACCTTTTTACCACAGCACTTATTTTTCAAATATTCTAGTTTCACTTAATTTCTTCAGAAGGTCTGAAATTGTGACTCTCTAAATAACATTTCTCAAACAGAAAAAGATTCATGGCGTTTTCTGAAATAGCTACCAGCATATTCTAAATGCCAGCTGCAATCACAAGGAAAAGCCACAGCAGGAAAATAGAAGTAGCTTCCACTGGTTCTTCCTAGATTTACTGACTTTATTTTGCCCATCTTTCTGAAAAACAAATGTTACCATTCCTGCACTAGTTTTATCCAGCATGTTTTCTGTTTACCTGAGATAAATTTTCTTTAGTTTACTAAAGGTTTCCACAATTCCCAAATACCAGACATTTAAAAATAATGATGGAGAAATGACTGCAAGAGAAAGTTCTTAAATATTTAGTACAAATGATAGTTAATTCCCTCATTTGTGATAGTTTCTCTCTTCATTTTTCATTTTTACATTCAGAAATCTCTCAGCTATGACCAAAATACTTTCATAGGAAAGCTGTGAAGAAATACTACATTCCAATTTATCTCTATTCTTTATTCTAATTACTTGCTATCTTGATAACAGGGTCTTGCCTTTTGAAAACTCTTAGCTGTTCTGGAACTCTTGGCTGCAAAGCACACCTGTTCCAGAGGATGATCAGGGATATTTGTACATTTGCAAATTACTGGAAGAACAGAAACAGCCATCTGTTCCTTAGCATGTTTTTCCCCTGAAGCAGCCAATCCTTTGTTCTCATGCTTGGAGAAGAGCCTGCAATTAGACCCCAACAAGACTGTATGGAAAAGTTATTGGCATTATCTTGCCTATCTTCTGTGTAATTCTGAAATTACAGCAGCATTTTTTTTCTAATTGCCTAGCCAGCTGCTCCCCTCAGGATTCCTGCATTGGAAAAGACACTGCAGAGAAGAAAGATAACTTTTTCTACCATTACTTTTTTCCTTCATGTTAATAGAAAAACTTCTTAACCCCTTTGGGAGAAGTACAGTAATTTGTTCTATTTTTTTTAATGATTGTAGTCAATAATCCTCTCAAGTTCCCTTTCCTGTAATATGTAGCTTTGCAATATTGACAAAACCAGAAATGTGTTTGTCACGGAAGTCATGGGATCTGGCCCTTCCTTTTTGCTCTTGCTCACTGCCTGGTAGAGAGTGTGGGGGTGCTTCCAAGCTGTGTGCTTTCAGGTTTGCTCTGTTTCAGAAAATTTTTTCTCTCTCTCTCCTATTTTATTTGATTTATTAGGCTCAATTTCAAGTAATTGTATTATATTGTGTTATCTTGCATTCTGATATCATAGTTAGTAAAATAAGATTTCCTCCTTAGATTGTTGCCTCTGATCTGTTTTTTTTTGTTTGTTTGTTTGTTTGTTTTTCACTGAGCCCAGCTCCCATCTCCCTACCCCTTTTCCCTTTCCCTTCCCATTTTTGGGAAGACTATGAGTGGATACATCATGCATCTTTAAGGCTCAGTGTTGAGTGTCAGCCTTCATCTTAGAACTGGGGACATTTTGTTCTTATTTAACATTTTCAGGTGTATCAAGATGTCATCTGGCTATAATAAACTAAGAGCCATACCATGCATATGTCTTTGAAATGTGATTAATACACTACACAAATCATACTGCCATCAATATTGTCATCTGAACTCTTTAGCCTTTTTCTACTTTCAGCAGTACATGAACACAGCTGAACAGCATATCGTTTTAATCAGAAAAAATATTGCTGGATATTGAAAAAGTTTGGAATGATACCTCGTTGCTTAACTGTAGTAGCTTTTCCTTAAAGAGAAATGAGTGCCTACCTTAGAAATCTTTCATGTAGACAAATATCTGACTAAATACTGGAACATGATGGAAAATATTGACTTTTAGGAAAAATGCCTGATTAAGCTATGATCTGTATTTACTTTTGACAATACTCGAACGATTTTTATTTTAGTCAGCTAGAGTACTTTTCAAAACTTTCCATCTGTTTACACCTATTGGTGTAAACCTACCAACAGCCTTTTGAGAGCACCACGGACAGCTCCCGCTGCACCAGAAGTGCTGATGGAACCGTGCTGAGCAATTGCAAAATGGCGGATGATTTCCAACCAGCATTCCTGCTTTCAGTTAATAGCAACACTGCATTGCTACTTCCAGATTTGTAACTCTGTTGGTCACTCTACATCGGTCATCATGGAAATGCCTTTTTAGGGCAGTGCACACAAAGATGTTAAACATATCTGGCCAAACTCAGCGTTCACTTAGAAGTAAACAAGATTCCAGCTGTCCCACCATAGTAGAATGTGGTTCCTTTTTTCATGTATCCTTTACTGTTATACAACTTTCTTTTTTCTTTTCCCCACAGCGTAAACATATTTTTTCCAAACATTTAGGTTTAGACTTGCCCTCATAATAGTCAATTATTTGAAAAAATGTTAACAATAATAAGAGCCAGGCTGTAGAAAAATGTATCAAAATGAGTGAACTAAGGTTCCTGAAGTTTCTTGCTCAGGTAATATGGACAGTCGTCAAACAGAATAAATGCTCTTTGTATAAACACATTTTGCTCATTAATAGAAGTAACACTATATTCTGTATGCTTTCCACAGTTATGCTGAAATGCTATCTACCCTGTTATTTTCTCACCTACAGAGTCGAATGGCAGAAAGTTTGCGTCTCTTTGATTCCATCTGCAACAACAACTGGTTTATCAACACTTCCCTCATCCTTTTTTTGAATAAGAAAGATCTGCTGGCAGAAAAAATCCGACGCATCCCCTTAACAGTCTGCTTTCCTGAATACAAAGGCCAAAACACTTATGAGGAGGCTGCAGTCTACATCCAGCGCCAGTTTGAGGACTTAAATCGCAACAAAGAGACCAAGGAGATCTACTCACACTTCACCTGCGCCACTGATACCAGTAACATCCAGTTTGTCTTTGATGCAGTGACAGATGTCATCATTCAGAACAATCTCAAATACATTGGCCTCTGCTAAGAATCCTTGGGCTAATCTGTTTTGCTGAAGTAATTGAAAAAGAGGCTAACCATTTCCACTTCTTGTGGAAATAATGGGGCAATGCTTAGCCCAAGGAGAGAAAAGGGGAAATGTGATGTATGTATGCAGTTCCTCTTATGCCCCACTAGCCTGTTACATTATTTTTCACAGTATGTGTTATGGAGAGTGAAAGTCTCCTCTCCAAAAAAATCACACACACATAAAAAATAAAATAAAAATGCCCCCAAATGAAAAACAAACCACACAAAAAATCCAAACAAAATCAACAAAAGAGATTAAGGCCTAACTCTGTGGAGATGTTTTCACCACAGTCACTGCACAATTCCTTTTGTTTCATTCTGTTTCCTACAGTGGGAGTGTTATCATGTTCTGTGTAAGAAATAATCATCCAATTGTCCTAAAATTTTACTGACATGAAGATATAAAGCTGGTGAGTGATAGCTGAGCTCATTTGCATGGTGTGAAGCAGAGTGATTGCATTGGGGTGAATAACTAGTTCAAATCAAAAGCTGCAAAACAGGAGTGCTTAAGGAAAATATTACTTAAAGATTTAGAGAATGGACATGTACCCTCTGTACTGGTACACACAGCCCAACTATATACATGCATCAGGTATGCACATGCACATGACTCACAGCATATACTGTGTACACACTTCTGCTTTACTCTTTTATGGACACCTTGCCTGTTAAAGGAATTGTTGGTGCACAACTGTTCTGTGATTTCCAAACTGACTATCAGCCCTTTCTGCTCTTTAAGGCTTCAAAATATGCAGCAAAACTACAAAAAATGAATCAATGAATAGGCCAAATTAAGGTCAGTGTTTCTTCTACTGATAAGGAGTTTTATACATCAAAACTGTCTTCTTTTACATCTTTTTTTGCCAAATCTTGTGGTGTTTCACAAAAAAAAAAAAAAAAAAAAAANNNNAAAAAAAAAAAGCAACCAAAAAACAACACTCTATATTTAAGAAGTAGGTTAGTGTTTTTTTTTTTAATACAGATAAAAAATAAATCACAAAGCAGTTTTTTAAATTATTGTTGTAGTGTCTGGACTGCTGAATGTGAAAGTTGCCAATGGACAATTCTGTTCCACTGCTCCAAATACATTCTGGGAACTGTAATGTTGTAACAGATTTCCCAAGAAGCAGGAGTCATGGCGATTGTGTAGTGTATAGCCTCCAAAGTCTTTTTTTCGTTGGGTTTTTAATTATTTTAAAAAATGTGATGTATTATTAGAAGGTTAAAGATGAGCGATATGAACAATAACTAAATGTCTTGATATTTCAATTTAACAATTTAAATTATTTACAGTTTAGTGAAGTCAAGGAAACTGAAGAGATACATTCCTCAGCTCCAGGTTTCATCTCATAAAGAAACACTACTGGATGGCGTAACATTCCAGCAAAGGTTTGAATGCATAAGAAACTCTGTGGGACTATACTGGAAAATTGCAGATGGATCAGTTGATTCTTTCCCCTGCCATAGAAAAGACTTCTTAAAGACTTCAGTGTAAAGTTGGTGTGTAAATATATGTTTGATAATTGTAAAGCACATACGTACACAGAAACACAGACACACATGCACACTGGAAAATATCCTTCTACTTTTGTTCCCCCTACGTACTATAATTAGTGCAAGAAATCTCAGCCAAGGGCTCTCAGAAATTTAAAACAAAATGGTTAATAACATCAACATTTAAACTGTCCACTTAAAAAATAAATAACTCAAATGATAACGCATTTGTCTATCGTGTGTTCATTACTTAGTGTTATGATATACTAGTTACTTAATTGAATACTGTTATGATTCATTTGTGACAGAATATTGAGTTTTATTAATTGGTTCCAGAATGTTTTGTTCAATTTATTCACTAACATTCAGGAAATTTCAATCTTAAGCAATTACATTTGACCAACTCGGCAAGTTTCAAGGGATGTCTTCCCATGTAATGTCTTTAAAAATTATGACTGCCTGTTACTGTTAGATGTTTTTGGGAGATGGTTAGTAGCAATTTTAGCGGAGAAGCTAAGATTAAGAAGATCAAGATCAAGATTAAGAAGCAACAGGAAAGAAAATTGAGAGAACTGCCATAGTATTTCCATTCTAAATTGCTTCCTATAGTGTGACATACTTTTATTAGCTAATTGTGAAAATTGTGGAAAAGATTTACGAGTGTGGCCTTCCTTTTCCCATTAATGGACTGTGAGCTGGTATGCCTCTTTCCCCTCTAGCTTTCATAGTCAGTGGCCATTTCAGACTGTTGAAAAAAGTGACAAGAAAATACTGGCTTTTATTAGAGCACAGCTGCAAGACAAGAAAGCTGACTTAAAAAAAAAGCAAAACGAAAAGCATAGTTAATTTTGAAGAGAGTAAGAAATACTTTATAAATCAAAAAAAAAATTATTCAGTTGAGAAGGTCCTTATAAGTACTATAGGCAATCTGTAATAGCAGTGAAGAACCTAGGGTATTTTATCAAAAGAATAAAGATTTTTCTAAACAAAAGAAATTAATTGCATTTATCCTCAAATTGAGATTTTTGGGAGATAAAAGAGAAACTGAAACAGTGCATTTTACTACATGTTCGTAGTTAATTTAAACATAAGAATGTGATGGAATAAAATAGTAAATAAGTTTAATCAGTTCATAATCATTCTTTGAATAGCAATGACTTGCTAATAACCTTCCAATAATTTAATTTCTATGATGTTTTTGATCTTGATGTTCTAAGTAATTCATGGCTACTCTTTTCTAAGTTGTTAAATTGTTTTACATAGAAATCAAATAATTTTATTTTCCCATTATGTAAGAAGACTGAGGTGTGGGGAGGATAAAAACAAAAAATCTGTATCCAAGAAAGGCCCTGAAATGAAACTCCTTAGCTCTCAGTCTTCCACCTGGATAAAGAATGCAATTAAATTGGCAACTATTTCCTCAGCTCACAGGTTTATCAGTGATGCAGTGGAAAAAGAACTGTATTAATAGAGCTGGGATGTCACTTTACCTGGACAACAATGACATTCACAGAAGAGATGCTCCATCTGTTGCAATAAGAATGCCATCTGTCCTTCCATTACTTGCATTTCACACAACAAAACAGGTTTCAAAGGGAAAACGGTATCTTTAAACAGTCCTTATTCATAGAACTGATTTGTTATGATTTTGTAAATGTATAATATTGAAGACAGTGAGGGTCAAATAAAAGAAAGAGAAACTTTAATCTGTTGGACTCCTCTAAAAAAGAGGTTCTGGTAAGCTTCCAAAATCCAGTGTCATCCAATCTACTTCAATTTTTGTCTAAAAGGATTAAGTACTGCTAAAATTATAAGGTAAGATTATAGCTAAGAACTATTAAATATTTCTAGTACTGTACACATCCTGGGAAAAATACTTCTTTCTTTCACAGCTTTTTTTTGCATTTATTATTGCCGAGGTCACTTATCCTTGCATAACATTCAGTAACATTAAGTACCTTCCTGAATCTCAACTAATTGTTTTCACAAAGAGTTTAAGTTTTGCTAGTAATGTCTTCTGGCCAGTGTTCATTTTCTCCTGCTACCTTTTCTCCCTCTTTCACCCTCTACTGAATATATGCCAAGCGCACGTACAGCTTATGTTCCTTTTTGGATAGTATGAAGTCTATTGCTTTACTAGTCCTGGAAATTGCCATAGAAAACATCAGAAATGTAACTAGGGAATGCTTTATTAGTTGCTGACTTTTTCCAGGTGATACAAGGTGTACAGGAATTGCTAGGCCACAGACTGAACCAGTGATTGTGCATAAGGTGAGAAGGTGTGGATAACCCAGGGAGCACAGGTGCAAACAATGCACCCAGGCAACCAGAAGAGGTGGGCCCAGGATCTGCCCCTCCTCACCCTCATTTAAGAGTTAGCAACTGAAGAAGTGTGTCTTTATTTGGAGATTGTGTCCTTTTTGAGACTACCAGCCTTTGGGAAAGGTAAGCTGCTTTTGTCTGTATTGCTTTCTAAACTTGATCATGTCTAATACCTTTACAAGTGTGCTCCTATTCTGGTAGAAGGTACTATCAGGCCTTCCATTGCTTCACACAAGGTTGTCTAGATGTGAACTGTAGAAGTAAATAAGAAGAGATGACGCAGATAGCTTTTTGGGTGGCTGAAGATGACAATTACCAGGCAGAGACAATTTATTTGACATATTACAGTGATTGAGAAATAATGTCAAGTCTTCTGAGGATCAGTTTTTTTGTTTTTTATTCCCCCTCCCTCCCCCCAGATGTCAAACCATACTATATAAAAACATTGTCTGAAGAATGCTATTCAAGATTAGCTTAACTAAGGCAAGGACTTCTATCTTGAATAAGTTTTAAGCATTTTTAGTAGCACAGAGGAAATGGTCAAATCTGCAATTTCACAGCTAAGGAAATGAAATTTTAGACGACAGTTTCACCTAAAAAGGCATAATTGAAGCAAAGCACAAAGAGGATGTGAGTGGTGTTATGCTGATTGAGAGTTTTGAGTATAGGAGAGTAAAGTTCTGTTTGCATCACAGATGTAAATAATTCCTCTACATCCACATTAAATTTCTTAAAAGAGAAAAAAAGAATAGGGAAAGAGTTGGCCCACAGAAGTAGAGTACGTGAGTACTGTAAATACCAAGGTTATGCTGAGAACTAATGAAGGGAAAGAAATGTATTCTAAACAGACTAAAATACCAGGTTTCTAATTAATTAACTGTTGTTATTTACATCTGTAAGGAAACTGTAATGAAGGCACTGTTGTACAGCATTTACTAAATAACTAATTCTAAAACTAAATACTTTTTCCCTTTCTTATGCTACTCGTTAGCCTATTCTGCTTTCTAGAACTGTTTCTTGAAAAAAGTTTGTTACTGATAACTTGATTTGGAAAACCCAGTTCTTATCTGCCACTAGTATCTAACATCAGAAAGGTAAAATGGGAAAACAGCTATCAGTCTTGGCTCATGAGATACTTCAAATCAGCTGTCCCTCAGAATTGTAGTCTGTCTTCTAACCTTTCACTAAGTTGGGATTGTAACAGGATTTGGAAGCTGCTCTTTGTATGGCAGACTTCTGCTCACTTCAGAGCTTCTGTGAAACCTCTGCCTTCAACCAAAGGCAATGTCCCAAGGAGAGAGACAGCTCCTAGCTCAGCAGGGGTTGAATAATCTTTCACTCCAGGAGGTAACTTTTTTCTCCTTGTATAGAATAATCTCACAGTGTCACTGAATTGGTGTCGTACAGCCCTGATAATTCCCATCAGTGACTCCTGAGCTAAGATGAAATATTCAGATGCCTGCAGGGACACAGATGGAACAGTGGTAGTAGACCTGTCCTTGATCTCTGAGTGGCAGTATGATGTACAATTACATATTCTCTACTTTGGGGAATGTATTTTGATTTCTGTGGAATTCTTAATAAGCAGTTTTTTATGTTTTGGCACCACCAAGAGCTAGTGCTGCTTACTGCTATAGTATTTCTCTAAGCAGAAATGATGATTGTAATAAAATACTTTCTATGTAACTCTTGTTTTTAGTTAATGTTTGTTTGTTTTTTAAACCAGTTGAACTGGCAGTCTGCCCACAAAAGACTATTATTTAGAAACCAAACTGTGCTATTATATTACAACCTCTAAATGAATACTGGAGTCTGACATACAGCATTATCATACTAGACTTACCTTATAAAAATTCCAGCAAATTGTGAACTAGTTGCTGCTGCTGCCACCAAAACTTGCAAGCAAGTGATATATGTCAAATTATTAGCTAAAACACATTTGAGTTCAGCTTTTGTGAATAGTTCCACAGAATAAGGAATATAGTACATTAAAAACATAAATATAGGTGAGATGTAAATTCCCTTCAATTTCTACTGATGTATTAGAAGTGAATACTTTAAAAGGATTTTAAAAAGCCCAACTAGAAAGCTCTTCCTGTGTCCAAGTTGAATTCTGAAGTGGCTGAAACACTTCAGAAGTACAACTGGCTGAATGCATGTTGACTGTTCTTAACTTCACTAACTTCAAAATTTGCTACAAACTGAAACATTCAAGAAAACAAGGCATGCTTGCAATAGCAGACATAAATTAAAGCAGCAAATATTTAACCATTAGTCTTCTATGACTCTTCCTCATTTGCTATTACTAAAGAGAATATCTACTCTTAGTTATCAAAATTCTTGACCTCACAGTCACAGAATTGCAACTCAAATCTGCACAGCCTGTTCAAAAAAGGTCATAAAATGATCAGACTAGTAAGAAAGGACACTTAAGCTAGGTGGAAAAAGTTGTATCTTAGGAACCTAATATCAAATAGGTGTTTGCATATAACATTATTTGTACTTGCATGTTTAAGCCTCAAATTCATATCGAAAAACCTTTTGTACAGAATTTCCTAAACTATGAAGTGGTTTCCCTGTTTAAACTGAAAATTTATGAGATCCTGCATTAGATGTGACTAGAGCTATAGTAATCTGAAGCTTAAAGCTATGGATAAAGTTCAGTACAGACTGAGCAGCAAGGCTTATTACTTAATTATGGAGTTTTGAAAGAACTAAGAATAACCACTGTAAAAATAATTGTTAATAATTACTACTGATCTATATATAAAAAAAACAACTTAGTAATATTTATTTCTATTAAGTTTTTGCTTCCTTTAAGTTTCTATTATGATCTACATAATCACAGGATGATATCTATTTGTTTGCACAGGTACAAGGCAGAATTCTTTAAAGACAGAGAGACTAAAGCACACTGAAGTCATCTGTTTTCTCCTTTTGAATAATTAATTACTAAAAAATCCCCCTACCTTCAGGTAACTTGGCCATCATGTCAAACACTTGATGCGTGTTCTTCCGACAGATGTCTTCTGGGTCATCCAAAAGTTCAGTGAGGACAGGTATTACTGCATTTTGTATCAACCCTTGCCTGTAAGCATTGGAGAATAGATTTAACTAAGCATACTATACTCAAATACTTGACAGGTGCATAATTTTTAATTAAATTTTCACTGCTTCTATCTTGCAAAAACTTAGAAATTCTGCTTTTATTTCTCACAGAAACTTCTTTATTGCTTCCTATACCATTAAGTAGGAATTATTCCTACCTGCCAACATTATGCATTGCCAATATATAGAGAATTTCTGTTGTCTTCTGTCGGACAGTACTGTCATGATGCAGCAGCAAGATCTTCAAGTTCTCCAAGAAACCTGTGGGACACATCCATTGATTTTAGTATTTTTAATTTCAGCATTAGTTTGATGGTGCAATGCTCATTTCTACCTCACAATTTCAAGTGCAAGCAATCTGTTTGTTTTTTCATCTTGACCTGGAGGTGAAATTCTCAGTGTCGTACTGCAAGTATAGCAGAAACTTAAAGACCTACTGCCAAAAATGCCCTGCTGTCAATTCTGAAGTGTATTCATATTAGAATAAAAATGTATATATCAACCCCACATAATTGTCTGATTTGACAGCTGATGAGATTAATGGAAAGTTCCCACTGAATTAACCTTGTGTTGTTTAACACTAGAAACAAGCTGCTGAATTCTGTACCAGGTTATGTCCAAATCTTGCTAAGAGTTAGGAAGTTATATAACTCTAAAAACAAAGCATACTGATGTCGGTGGTGCTGTTACTGTTTTAGAAAAGCAGGTGTTTGCAGATTGATGATTACATTTCTGTAAATGTTAAGTCTTGCAAGGGCTGTGTAAAAGCACAGAGCCTTACCTTCCACATGCAGAAATAAACTTGGTTTGGCACCGGAGGAGAAAAAACTAATGCTAATTAAACAACGATTATATTATTTTGTATGACTATCGGTGCCTCTTACGAAGAAAATGTACGTGACAGTGACAAACCTGAAGACTACTTCATTGTTACATAATGATACTGTAAATACACAGCTGACTGCTAAAACATGTTATGAAGATAAGCTTGCATACTTTTTTCTTCAACTGCCAATTTAAGATTATTCCAAATGTTAGGATATATTTTAATTAAAAATAGCGAGCAGATGTAATCTTGAAGTATGAAAAATTTGGTTATTTAGTTTTAATTTTTTTTTTATGAAGTTCCTGAGGCTCTTGTTTATAGTCTCATTCCACAATTATCATGAGACTTCTGAGAAATAATCTGTGTAAAGCTCTGATGTTTTGGCTCTCCAGTAGTTATAGCTGAATGTGCCGTGCTATCCACTGCTGAAGGAATGAATGGCAAAAAGTGACTTCATAGCCTTTGCAAATTAATTTTGATTAATCACTGATTGAATCATTAGTCCACTGAGGTCAAGAGTGGTATTTTTATGTTTGAGGTACTTGAAGCAGGTAGATACCTGTTGAAGGGGGTGGTTGTTTCTATTTTTTTTCATGCTCTATAGTTATAGTATCACAAAAGGGCTTAAGTTGGAAGTGACCTTAAAGCCTAGCCAGTCCCAATGCCCTGCCATGGGCTGCTTGCCAACCACAGATAAGGCTGCCCTGGGCCCTATCCAACCTTGCTTTGAATGCCTCTAATTATGGGGCACTCAGAGCTTCTCTAGATGGCACTACCAGGGCCTCACTGCCCTCAGAATGGAGAATTTCCTCCTAAAATCTAATTTAAATCTCCCCTCCTTTAGGGTAAAACAACTCTGTCTTATCACCATCTGCTCATGTAAAAAGTCTCTCATGTTTGGAAGCTTCCTTTAAGTCTTGGAAGGTGGCAGTGAGGTCTCCCCAAAGCCTTGCCTTCCCCAGCCTGAACAAGCTCAATTCCCTTAGCCCATCTTTAAAGAGATGTGGGTTGTTGTTTCTTTCTTCTTCTTCTTTTTTTTTTTTTTTTTTTGATTGTAATATAATACTCTCTACCTCTTTATGGTTCAAAACAAGTAGAGCTTAAAACCATGATATCCTCCTGGCCATTTCTCTCTCATCAATTATTGCAGGGGTAAAAACAGGGCAACATAGTACAGCGCATCCCTCTCTGTCATCACCACTGTGTCAAAACTTATGGTGGCAAACCACTTACCTATTTGGACTGCCTGGTAGATATTTTCTGGGTCATGGACCAGATCACAGAGTGCCATCAATGCCCGTTGCTGAGTCAGCACCTCAGGAGATTGTATCTCTCTATTCAGTTTAGGCAGAGCTCTCCTCCCAAATGCAATAGGAGCTTTTGTTGGATCTACATCAGGGGGAAGCTTGGCTGAGATAAGAGTGCTTGCCATCCCTGATTTATCTGGGAAGGATTCTTCTTATACTTAAAAAAAAAATACTGTAAAATGACTCTGCTTGGTGAGAAATAACTGATGTACCAAAGCCACCACTGTTAATTAGCATTAAACTGAATGGTCCTCTGTCCTCTCAAAGCACAATTCTAGCACACGTGAGGCTTTAGGAAGCTGTGAAAGAGGAGGCTGGGATGTCGTCAGATGAGCTGTCCTTTCTGGCTTGAGTTTCTACTGAATACTGTAAAATAACAATAGAAGAAGCAATAAGAAAGCTTAAAATTGTGAGTGAGAGAAGTGCTTTTAAAGAGTTAAAACCCCTTTGGAATGTTCCATGCTATAGAAGGGACTCAAGCTCTAACAGAAAGCCATTTTTCAAAAACACGGTCTTTCTAAAGGTTTGTAGTGGAAACCTGCCCTCGGAATTCGTTAATGATCCCTGAAAAGGATCGCCGGCCACCCGCCGCCCTCAGTGCAGCAATAGAGCAGCCTGCAGCCCTGGAAACTCTTCAACGCAACAAAACGCAGCTACACGGAGAAAGAAAATCATATATATATAAAATCCTACTTAACAACGGCATCTGTTTCTTAAGAGCAAACCAAACGACCGTATAATCGCAGACGCCCCTCTCAGCCTGAGCCCCGGTTGCCTCTCTACGGCGCCTGCGCGCCCGCGTTCTGGTTACCACAGCAACCCGCCCTTTGCGTAAGCTCAGCTCTGTGAATAAAAACTGCGCGGCCGCGTGCTCCTTTCCTCTACTGTTTCCAGCTTTGCGTCAATAGCGTAACCAGCGCGTTCGGCGGTGGTTGCTGAGAGGCAGTTGGGTCCGCGGCGTGATTGGTGAATCGGAATGTGTGGCCGCTACTAACGTAGGGCGCGGGGTGTTGAGTGGCGAGCGGCGCTTGGCGGGTCCGCGTGTGAGGAAAGGGCGGGAATCGCTGCAGTGTGGGGGCTCACGCAAACTGCCTTCTCTGTAAAGCAGCTAGTGTAATCAAACGCTGGAATAGATCCTGGTTTGTTGATCGTCAAAATCCACAGAAGAAAAGTACAGCTTTAAAAAACATCTTCACGAAAGGGAGTTTTGTTTTGTTTTGTTTTTTCTTTTTTTCTTTTTAATGTTTTAGAACAAATTGAAGTAGAAGTTAGTTTCCTTGAATGGATTAGACATTTACAAACCAAAGACTTGTGAAATTTCACCATTTCAATAGAAGAACATTAACTTTTCTCCACGTAGATGGGACACAAGAAGGTCAAAGATTTCTCACATCCCTCAGCTTTAACTCTCTTCTCATCCTTTTTTCACCATACCTTGGTATAGTGATTTTAATTAGTGGTCATGGCGTTAGCTGATTCGATGCAGAGTTGAAGTCTTCCTTCAAACCTTTTGTCTGTGGATGATGCTGTTGATGGGAGCAGTGCGGTGCCATGGAGACTTGTGACTGAGCTCTGTAGGAAGAGAGAATCTGGATCTCAGTGCCTATAATTCTCAGCATTTTCAGCAGCTTTGTGTTTCTTAAATCACTGGCTTGTTTCCCCTTAGGTTGCAGCTAATTTGTTGGTTTGGTAATCGTGTGTTTGTGAGAGACATTTAGTTCAAATACGCCAAGGGAAAACGGCCTGTTGATTTTAAAACACTTCTCCTTGTTTACCTTGGTCCCTCTTGGACTTTGGATTCTCTGGCATAGTTAAATGGATTATTTTTTCCTAGCTTAGTTTGTGAAAGAGCTCCAGGAGATGAGCAGTGAGTCATCCTGTGCACTCAGGACAGACTGATACACGCTGAGGATGTGCTGAGCCAGAACTAGGAGAAAATGGAGCAAATCCAGTGTGTGTGATGCTTCTACCAACCAGGAGGGTTTCTTTTTTTGTTTTCAGAACTGTTATTTTGGAGCACATCACGAAGCGGATCCAGGTCTGCCTGGTTTGGAGCAGCCAGGAGGAGTATGATTGATAGAACTGTATATATGGTTAAAAATAAAGACCATCATCTTGGGTTCTGAATGACACATCAGCTGTAAATTTGGATTATTTGTTTGTTTGTTTGTTTGTTTGCTTTCAGTGTGGATCAGATGACATGACTGCCTGAAGTGATCCCTCAGGGAAGTAATTCCTCACAAAAGAGAATAAAATGGTAATTCTAAGTAGTGGTCTGGTAGTTTTGTTGACCTTTATTCTTTGTTTATGGTTGTAAAACAACTGTAGGGTTTTATATACTACACACTTTCTTTTTTTCTTATTTACTTGTCCTTTAAATTTTTTTAAATAGGAGAAGTTTGTCTCCTGGATGTTAAGAAGTCCAAGCCTTTTCCAGCATTAAGGAAATATGATTATTTGAATGTGAGAGCTTTTATTTTTTTTCCTGAAGCTTGGAAGTTTATATCCAAGTGAAACGAACAGCAAAACCTTTTAGCATCCTAAATGCTAAACTTAGTCTAACCTACTAAGTTGATTATCGATACTTAGGCAACACAGAAGAGCAATGGGATTTCTTATTCTTTATTATCTTTATTGTTTGATATGCTATCAACCGAGATTGGTAATTACTAGAGACGTTTATGTGATTCAAAATGGCTCATAGTTACATGCACATCCTGATTCTAAGGCTGAAATGAAAGAAAGCTGAAATTCTAGGGGAGGAAGGGAGCAAAACAAACCCTCTGGAGTTTCTTTATAATTGCTAATATGCATAATATTAAACGAATCTGAATAGCCTATATAACAGGTTTGTTCTTCTAAAACCAGAGCCCTGCGTATGGTTAAATTACTCCATTCCAACCCCGCCTGCTCAGTCCGTGAGAGGAGGAGAGGAAGGGAACTGTTGCAAGCCTGTTGCCATGGGCACGCGGCTGCAGGCTGCTCGTGTGGCTGGGATCCTGCCGCATCTGCACTGCACGGTGAGTCCTTCCTTGCGTTTGCTGCATGAGGACTGTTCTCGTTAGATTCTTCTGAATGCCAGTAAGAAACTGATGCCTTACAAAGAGTTCCCTCTCAATAATCCACAAGGCTTCTTTTCACAACCAAATCATTGCCTCTCAAGTGGGATATCTTGATTTGCTTGTCATTTTCGTGTGAACACTATTCTTCCATGTCAGACTAACTACTGATTTTGTTCTTTATGAGTTGATGTTGGCTGAAAGTTTGATGTTGTGCCAAGAAATATGGCAACTTTGTTGTTTCTCCTTTCCTCTTCTGACCTAATGAAATCTGATGTCCTCTAACATTAATAAACGCGCTTTATGCAGTAGCATTTAAAATAGTGAGGTGTGGGCTTTTTAAATTAAGCACTACAAAATTATTTGAGGACTAAACTATAGCAGTTGTGTTGAATTAAGTGAACAGTTCTCTGTCCTCCTCCAGAATTAGTCAGTGCTTTTCTACTTAGAAAAAGCCACTATTTCTTTCTACATTTGTGCAGACAGAAATCATCCTTTTCCATGAGAAACATGTTTTCTTTAACAAAGAACTGCCAGTTGTACCAGGAAGAGACAAGTCCAAAAGGACTGTTCATTTTTTGTTTTTAATGTTTTTCCTGCGTTGAGACAATTCCTCAATATTTTGTCTCACTTTGCATGTTTTCTATCTGATAGAATTGACCTGAGTTTGGAGGATGAAGTCCAACCCAAAGCATATGGTTCCCCCAGTGAGCAGGGACAGAATAATCTCCCAGTTTCCTAAGGTAAGTTTTTCTTTATCCCTTTGCTCAGAGGATGTATCACCTGCCATGTCTTTCCCATGTGCTAATAGTATTTTGGTTTGATGTATATTTGATGTCTTCTGCTAAAACTGCAAATTGTTTAAGTATTTATTTCAGAGGTGAATGTGACCTTGTTTTTCCATTCGGTGCTGATGCACTTAATAATAAACCAGGTTTCTTCCTCTAACCTTAACAGAAAGTGACTCTTGCAACAGAAGTGTTATCTTACAGTATCTGTTCTTTTAGCCAAACATTAATAATTACCACACTTACAGAGTTCCTACACTGAGAGGAAATGAGAACCATAGCTGTTATTTAATATTCAGAAAAACTAATTAGGTCTATGTGGAGTTTTCATTTGAAGAATTTGAAGCAATTTTAATCTTCTGTGTGAGTAGGAAACTTAGTCATACTGTAGATCAAATGTAGTAGGCACTACAGGAAAACAGATAGTGAAGATCATTCTTACCCCTAAAGAGTTTTATCCTTGAAGTAGAATAGAATGGCCAGGGGCAGGTAAGGACAAAGAATTGCCATTATGTTTTTAATTTTGTTCAAAACACCATTTTAAGAGGATTTTGCACTTCTTTCATTCTTGATCTCAACCTCCTATTTTGCTTTTAATTTTATGAAAACTGTCGCTGTTATTTTAAGTAAATGTGAGGCAAAACATGCTTTCTTTGTTTGTAGCCTGCTAAGCTTAATGGAAAATTAGTAATAAGATCAGTGCTTCTCACAAGTAAGAGATCTAAAAGACTTTGTAGTCCGAATGATTTTCTAGTGACTTGTTCCCACTTGTGTTCTTCTTGAATGTCTTAGATTATTGGAGTTATTTAAGATAATTAATATTGTTCTTAATATATAATAATTAATATAATTGACAAATAAATTTACTGTGGAAGTTCATTAGGGCTCTGATACCTTGTGGAGTTGTTTAAAGGAATTTTTCGAACATACCTGTGCATCAGCCTTACTACCTTCTAACCCAAACTGTCTCTTTTCATGTGCTGGAGTATCCCTGTGCTTGACAAGCTTTTTGAAGTAATCTCCTTTTCTATCTCACCTTGCTGATTTGGCTTGTTGATAAGTAGACATTATAGAGTTTCTCAGTAGCTGTTCTCTTGTGTCTCCAGTGGTACACTCCTGAGGCCTGTCTGCAGTTCAAAGACCACTTCCATGCACAGCTCAGGACTGCCTGTCAGCAGAGCACCGGAACAGCTGGGCAAGTTTCTAATAAGCCAAGTGTGCAATGAGACAAGTGTTTTAACCTCTTTATAGCCTGATTCCTCCATAAGCTTTTCCCAATTCCACATGCTGAGCATTTCAGTGTGACTGAAATCAGCTTAACCTGTCCCCATGGTTCTTCTGTACCATTTCACAGTAAATAAATGAAATGCTGCTTCTTCATATAAGTATTAAAGATCTTTTTCTTCCTGACTTAAGTGAAGATGAAGAAATAGAGTTGTTGTTTAGCAACAGATATCTTAGTTTAAAGGATTAACCGACTGTTTAAAATTAGTGTTGAATTTGGTCATGCAAGTAAGCATGAAAAGCAAGTCCTAGAGCATTTGCAAGGACGAGAACAGATGTACTGGCACCAGTAGAGAGTACAAAAGGACTGCATACTGAGTGTACCAAGTAAGAACTAGACAAAGACTTTGGAGCAGATATAAACACAGCAGTTTTAAGTTGCTTGTAGCACATAAGAATCTAGCTTTAATATTTTAAATGTATCCATGCTGAGAACTTGTTTTAAATGTTTCCTTAAAACTGGAGCAAAATTCTGGACTAAGAAATCTAATGAAAAATAATATTGAATTCTAATGTTCTTAATTTTTTTTTCTCATCATCTCTCTCCCAGAATACACACATGTAGTAGATTTAATTTGTAGTGAGCTAAACCAGATATAACCAGATACAGCATTCAATACAAGATTGAATCTTTTGTTTAAAAAGCCATTTTTGATACAAAACAATATTAAACCTCCTAAGCCATTTTTGTAGCATGTGCAGGGGAGATGTCAATCCAAGTTTCAGTCAGCAAATACTGTACACTCATTTATCCACCTGTATCTCCTAACAGACACGCTACATTTCAATTTTAAGAGTGCAGGTGAGTCACCTCCAGCCCATCTGCTGTATTCTGTGGGAGAACCTAGAGCAAAGAGGATTATTTGCATGAGGCAAGCTTCAGATTAATGTTATTTCAGGTAGTCAGAAAATGTATTGGCTCTGACCATTATTTTTTCGCAGAGACAGATTCTGCAATGGTTATTTTATTATCAGTAATTTCATGTTTGTGCACTTAAGATTTGATTTTATACTATTTAAGTCAATGAAAAACTCATAACTAATTTTAGTGGCAGAAAAGTATAAACTTGTACTTTTAAAGGTCTCTATGGATATAGATGCTGTATGGTCTCAAGTGCAAACTGCCAAGTGTATAATCCTTCTTTAAAAGCATTTCTAATAAGGTCTTTCTGCCCCATACAAATTATATAGAAAGTAAGAAATGGGCTAATTCTGCTCCAGAGTTTTTGACCTTTTTCTTTTTGCTATTTAAGACTCTGATCCTTCTGCAGCACTGTGGCATTCAGATAAACTGGAGTTGCAGATGCATTAATCACTTGCAGTTTAAGGATCTACATCAGAATTGCTACAGTGACAATATTGAAATTACTACTACTAAAAGCATTAAATATTTTTGAATATTCCTAACAGGCTGAAAATATCCAAAGTGGTTGTGGTAGGAGACGTCTATGTTGGGAAAACAAGCCTCATCCACAGGTATGATGTATTTCAGCAGATGGATTGGTTCTGCTCTTTTCCAAGCTGAAAGCGTATCACCTGTTGCAGTGAAGCTTTCAGGAATCTGAACTGAATATATATTCAATCAAATATGATATAGTGCAGACCTTGCAAAAAGCTCTTGTGCATTTTGCAAATTCAGTGAACAGAGCTCTGAATTTCTGTAGCTTGTGATTGCATTCTGTCTGTTTCCATTTTCAATTATTTCTATGTTCCAAAGTAAACTTGTTGGCTATTGATCTCATTAATAATCACGTATTCCTTTTGTTTATGGCCCAAAATATATTATTTTGTAACTAAAAATTTGATGCAAATAAGAGAACTGCTAGATGTATGTACTTTCCAGTTTGTTATTCACTATTTTTTTTATTTTATTTTTTAAATGTCTATATATATGCTTCTGCACAATATAACCACTCCACTATTAGTTAGTTCTTTTCTGTATAATTTATCTTAGATGGTGTTACTTTGCAGCTATTTGTAGCCATGAGTTACTAAAATTTCCTCCTTCCCCCCTCCTTCATTACAGGTTCTGTAAAGATCATTTTGAACGAGATTACAAGGCGACCATCGGGGTGGATTTTGAAATTGAACGTTTTGAAATAGTTGGAATACCATATAATCTCCAGATGTAAGTTGAAATGTGGCTTAAGTTCCACATACAGTACGATCTCAAAAGAGTTTAAGTTGCTACAGGCTCTGGTAGTACAAAGATTTAAAAAAACCAAAAAACCAAAAAAACCAAACACCCATAGCATAAAATGATCTGAAAAACAGTTTCTGCACCTGGGCTTGCAGTTTTAATGAAATAAATGAATAAGTAAAATTTCTTATTTCCTCTTGGATCTCACCTTCCTGGAAATGTTAGAATTTTGTCAAAGAATTTTGCACTATTTGCAGTTCTTCTTTACTCAAACTTCTTGGAAGAGAAGCAGAAGCTTTTGCAACCCATTTTGTTGGGTGCTAGTGTTGGATTACTCTACCATTTGGGTTTAGTAGGCTTTATGAGCACAGAACTTGACCTCATTTCCTACCCATTTTGGTGCCATTTTGTTTTTGAAAATTCTATTCAGTACTGCTTTCTGGAATTTGAATGCCTTTAAAATCTGCACTGATATGTCAGTACATTGTCAGTTGAAATAGTAAGGTTCATGGGCTGCTAAACGTTAGGTTGTGTTATCTTCAGATTCCTTGGTGGCGATGTAGAACATCTCCATGTGATAAGCACTGGTGCCCCCTCTTGCTGAGAGATTTCTGTACAAGCTACATCTGCAAGTACTGGCAGTGCTGTGCTGTAACAAAGTCCCAGACCTCTGTAGTACTGGCTGTAGGTGGGAGAACTGTCTATCATCTTCATGAATAAGCAGCTCTTTCTTTCCTTTTTCAATTTTATTTATTTACTTACTTATTTATTCTTTAATGGAGTCATTAATGCACTCGTATCAAAGTATCAGTTGCAAGAGTTCAGCATGAGCAAATGTATGATTTAGCTAGTATTAATGAAGAAAATGCATTTTCAAAATTAGATTGCTATGGAAAGATATAAATGATATAGATGAAGTTGAGATGTTTTAAGAAGAGTATTACAATACAGAATACAAATGTTTGAACTGTGTCTCAAAGAACAGTCTCCAAAATGACCAGTTAAAAAAATCACTCTGGATAAAACCAGAACTGGAATGGCTTAATTAAATAATAGGACTTTACTGTGTTTCTATCAGAAGTTAATGAATAACATGTTCCAGATGGAGAAGAGTGTGATACCACAGAAGTGTTACCAACTTGTACCAGTCTGTTGCTTCATTAGTATGTTTGCTCAGGTTACGCTTGATTTCATTAACCTGAAGTTTCTTTTTTTCCCCCATTGCACAGATGGGACACAGCAGGTCAGGAAAAGTTCAAGTGCATTGCATCTGCTTATTACCGAGGAGCAGAGGGTGAGAACAATATTAATTTGATGCTGCCTGTAACAGGAGATTGTATATACACCTATATATGCTCCTTGGAAAGATACGTGTAGATACATGCAATGGAATGGGATTACCGTTATTGGGAAGAGGAAGAGACTGAAAATCTCATGAATACATTTGTTGCAAGCTCTGAATGTTGTGATGATGAAGTGATTAAAAATTGGTACTTGTGTCTTGGGAACGAGGAGGAATCAGCCTAACAGTGTCTCCTGAGTCCTCCATGTTAAATCTACTGTTGTACTGTATATGTGTTATTTCTGTTTAACAAAATTAGTTAAACTGGAGAGATTTCTGATATGCTTTTAAACTTAATTATTTTTTCCTGTCCTTTCATTACAGTTATAATAACAGTGTTTGATCTAGCTAATATCCAGACTTTGGATCACACCAAGTAAGTTTCTGTACTTTGGCTTAGCCTTTACAGCTTTCACAGAAGGTTTAATTGCATTGCATAGTCTGCAGTTGCTGAGAATGTGCTGGATCCTGAGAGTGTTATATACCTATGTATAGACCTTGCATTTTTAATTCAAAATGTATTAGTTCAGGTACTTAAAATGGTTTGTTTATAGCAGCACACCAGCTGATGTGAGTAAACTTGCTTCACTTTAAGTGCAGGCAGCAAAACACTGTGAATCTGTGATCCACACTGCTGTCACCAGACTGAGAGCTTACATGCTCTAACATACTGTTACGACAGGAAAGCAGATAAGTGTTTTTCTACAGCTTGTACTTTGTCTTATTTAAATGTGGTCTTAAAATGGGGTCTTTCCTCAGAACGCATTTAATGCATTCACAAAAGACTTTGTAAAATTATATATATATATTTATATTAGTGTACCTGCTTGACTGAAAAGAATTGAAACATTCAAACCTGATTTCTGCCCCCACACGCTCTTCCCTCCTTGACTTGTGTTGGATGACTCCAGAGGAACTTGGTTGCCAGAGTAACAAAAATATACAAGCTTATGAGACGAGTCATACAACCTGGGGAGATGCTTTATAATCTTACTGAAGAAGTTATTACACTCTTCTTTTTTCCCTTTGTTGCCTAACCTGCTATGTTGTTCAGAATTTTTTCTTCTGCTTCTTTTTTTTTTTCATTATCACTGTGAAAATTCTGCCCTCTTCCATTATACTGAGTATTATTATACTCATCTCTGAGCATTAATATTATTGTAGAATTTACACTCTACTGTGAGCATGTTTCCACTTTTCAGTAGTGGAAGGCATGCATTCAGTGGAGTTGGAATAGCTCCTGTTCCCTTTCTGTCTTAAAAAAAAAAAAAGAAAAGAAAAGAAAAAAAAAAAAAGACCTTTGGCACTCTTGCATCAGCTCATTCTCTGGCTTTTCTTGTGACCCTGTTATGTGTCTCTGTCTCAATTATTCCATACTGCCTCTGACTGATTTTCTCATCTCTCTTCTGCTTTTTAGACAGTGGCTGGAAGATGCTTTGAGGGAAAATGAGCCAAATTCCATCTTCATCTTTCTGGTTGGAACAAAAAAAGATTTGGTGGTGAGCAAATAGCAAGATAATGATATGACTGATCACAGATAGCAAATGAGTGGGAAAATGAAGTGCAAGAAAGAAAAATGTAGTAAAGGAGGAAGAAGTGTTAAGAGAAATTTAAAAAAAAAGCACAAGATGGGGAGAGAAAACCTTGTATTTGAGCATACTAAAAATAGATTGAGTAGAAAAAAGGATCTGAGACAGAGGTAAGAAGTATTAAACAACAAAACGAATCATGGTGATTACTCAGTCCTGTAAATTTCTGCTAAAGGCAATTGATTGTAACAAGAATGTGAAGACCAATGACTGTGCTATTTTCTTTATTGGTCTCTACCAGGCTGCATAGCTAGATACAATTGTTGCCCTTGTTAGTTACTTTGCTTCAGTGTAACAGAAGGTAGATGGAGACTTCCAATTTAAAAACAATGCTAAGTAATTTCTTTTCCAAGCATCTGAATACTTCAGCAATAGTGTCTGACTGCACAAGTTCTCACGGAAGGACAGATAGGCTACTGTGAAAACTGGAAGAATCCTGCTATAGGTGCTAGCACTACTTTTATGTTATTACCAGCATACTTCTTACGTTAATGGTATCCTTGGTTTTTACTTAGTCAGATGCTGTTTGTGAAAGGACAGAGCTGGATGCTATCCGCTTTGCCAATGACATGCAGGCAGAATACTGGTCAGTTTCAGCCAAAACAGGTAAGTTACTGCAAAGGATATAAAAAATAATGTAACCAAAGAGGCTAATGTTAAAGTGGAAGGAAGCTGAAGTTCTTTATACCTTTATTTCAGTATATTTTTAAAGATCTTGTTGCATTTTACTGCTTTTGGAGACTTCGTATTTATTAATGGTTGGTTTTCAGATGAGCATCTGCACGTGTGCTTTCATTGTTGTGTTTACAGAAAGGTGTGCTTAAGCTACTGCAATGTCTAAGCATGTTTAATTCATGGATAATTACTTAAACATATGTATGCACTTCTACTTGATTAGCAATGAAAATATTGTGTCAGAAACCAGAACCTCCTTGTTGCTGAGTTTAAAACAAACAAAACAAGCAAACAAACAAAGGGTACATTATTCTAGAGTGGGGAGAAAAGAGAATTTCTCCCTGCAGTGATCAGAACAGAAGACAGATTGGTGGAGACGCCTGATTGTTCCCAATATTAAGCAATGGTCTGTTCACAGGTGTGCTTGTTCATATCTGATCAGGCACTGATGTGCAGTTGCAAAAACACATCCATTTTGTTCTGTTTCCTAGGGGAAAATGTCAAAGAGTTCTTTTCCCGAGTTGCTGCGTTGGCCTTTGAACAGTCCATGATGAGGGAGCTGGAGAAAACCACAGGGCACATGGCTCAAATTGGGACAGGAAACCTCATCAGTATGTGAAGTTTTGCTTGTCTGTATTTTACATTTTTATGATCTCAAGGACTGGGGAGGATTTTTGAGCACTGAAGTGTGTCTCACACAACTGCAAGCATATTCACTTCAGTGTCTAACTGAGTGACTGGGTCTTCATTCAGCTCTTGTTACCTTCAATACTGGATGATATTATTTCTTATGCACTGAGTTTATAACTTTTTGGCTTCTACAGGACTGGAACAGAACCTGATGGAAATCCCAGAAGGCAATGTTCAAGAAAGCTCAAGTTGCTGCTGATTTTCAGCTCTTTCTGCAAATGCCACACGTCTCTATAGTCCAGCATAGAGCATCTGCAACAACAGAAACTCTAAAATCAGAAATAAAAAATTCTATTTTTAGAAATGAGGGAGAAAAATATTATTCAAACTACTTTCTGAGGGTTCTCTTGTTGTTGAAGGCTCACTTGTGCTGGATGGTATTGTTATATAAACTTCTCTCTGTGTAGTAGAAATATGACATCCTTGTCTCAGTGCAAGAAGACATTGCCAGCGTCGTGTGCTCACCTGTCTGCCAGAAAAACTTGTAGTCAGAAGTTATGTAACTTTATCATGTTGGGTGTTGATAATTCTCTAGAAATCTTGATTACTGAAGTTGCATTCTCATGGGAGCAGAATACAAATGGCAGTTCAGAGAAAAGGGTGCTGAGAGCAGCCTGTCAGAATCTAAAGGAAGGAGTATGGGAAAGAATGGCACAGCCTCTTTAACAGGTCTGGGGTCAAGGGGAAATGCTTTCAAATTAAAAGATGGGACGTTTAGATTGGATAAAAGGAAAAAGTTTTCTGCAGTGAGGTACTGTCACAGGTTGCCCAGTGAGGTGGTGGTACTCTGGCCCTGCAGGCATTCAAGGCTCTGAGCAACATGACCTGGCTTATAATGTCCCCGTTCATTGCAGGGACATGGGAAAGGAACTTTTAGTGTAATCTAGTCCAATTCAAACAGTTCTATGGTTCTAAGCTAAAAATATTCTAGATTCTCAACCATTTATTTCATTAAAAATTGTTTTCTATAAAAAAGTGAGTGGAAAGATAGCTTACAACCTTTTAATTACTTTTATTTTTCTGTGGCTTATGATGTAAACTAGAGCAATTACAAATAATGTAATAGAGATCTAGGATTTTCTTTTCTTTTTTTTTCTTTTGCAATTGATTCTGTTGGCAAGGACAACAATGTAGCATTTGGTGCAGAAGATGAATATGTGTAAGCATGTAAGGAGTCTGACTGTGGAATACCTGCATCTCTTTCACAAGGTGATGAATACACGCTCCACTTGTATCATGTCTAATACTGAGTGGGCACCATAGCCACAATCTTTGTGCTTACTGAGTTTGAATGAGAGTAGAAAAAGACATTTCACTCTACTGTTGTGTATAATGTATGCATATAAAATATGTTGCATTTCTGTAATGCTTTTCAGAAGCAATTTTACAAGCCCATTAGAGCCACATAGCCATTGCTTCATACTGTGCTGTGAGTGCATGAGTACTGCTAACCTCACATTACTGGTAAAAGCTCTTAGAAATAGTATTAAAATCCTTTGTTTGCATGTGGAAAATTTTTCTATGAACTGATTTGAAACTCAGAATTTTGCATGTTGTTATCATCCATTTGTTTTCAGTTTGTTTCCTTGCTAAAGATGTTATTGTAAGAGGAAATAATTCATATCTTAGTTACTATTCTAAAGATGTGCTTCAGGGCTGTTTGCTACCCATGATGAACAGGCCTGAGCCTGGATTTCTGACCAAATTTTGCTTGCATCTGTATTTTTTTTTTGGACATAAGCAGGTGTCTCGTTATGCAGTTTGAGCACTCTGAAGTGTGTCAGAGAAGAAAACTTGGGCACAATACCAGTTACTGTCATTTGAAGGGCAGTAACTGACCTGTAGGGTGGACAAGTTCAGTGTGGCTGCAGCAGCAGTCCCTCAGCTAAGTATTATCTATACCCATGGTGCATTCTTGTAGTTTCACATGGCTGTTACTGAGCAGTTACTGGTCTGTCTCTTTCCTAGGAGCTGATAATGGTCCTGGAGGTCAAAAGGCAGGTTTTGCAGGATGTCTTCCTGTCTATGTTAGGTAGGTGCTAGGTTTCAGTGCAGACACAGGGTTGGTACCTACAGCTGCAAAATGAATCAGAAGTAAATAATATATATAATTCTTGAAATAAATAAAGAAAATAAATCACAGACTTTTTTTTACTGACCATAATTCTTGTACAAAATCAGAGATGTAATCTCTTCAGCAATGCAGTTGTGTTGTTTTGAAAATCAAGTGGGACAGTTTTCCTAATGATTAAGTACATTGCTTGAAGTCATTATTGGTTTATATCTTCTGTAGTTCCAAAAACTTTATGCAAAACTGCATTAGTCTGTTAGTCAGCAACTATCCTCCAGAGACGGCCTGATTCCATTCAAGCTATGATGGGATGCTTTGAGACTTTTCTTAAGCCCCTGTGAGGCTGCCCCTGCAAAGTATAAATAATTGATCATTGAAAATGAATCTTAGATCTTACAATTGATGGATTGCTTAGGAAAGCACAAAGGAAACCTAACCTTGGGTGGGAAAAAAAAAATCAGATTGCAAATTCTTAAATGTTTTTACCTTGTTTATGTTGCATCTATGCTTATTGATCCATTTTATCAGCAATTTCATTTGCTTTGGAAAGCCTTCTGATTGTGGAAAGCAGTGTCAGATCAATTCAGTTAACTCTGAATGTAGGCAGGCTAAAACATATATTTTTTTTTTTACCAGGTGAAGCCTTCATAGTATAGATGGCAGCAGTTTCAGAACCATTTCCTTGTGGAATTTGCAGATAAGAAATCAGAGAATGTGAAATTCATGATGAGTCTGAAGCAGAATTAAAGAGCAGATGTAATTATCTCCACAAAGATGGACTAGTGTTATGCTAGTTCTTGCCTTTTATAAATACAGGTTAATCAGTTAATGAGATTCTATTTAAATAATTATGTATATCTCTGAGGAAAAACAACTGGTAACAAATCAAGAGTCATTCAAGAAAAAGTCACCAGGCAGGTAAATCTCATTTTTACTGTAAAAACCTTTTGTTTCCATCCTTAGCGATATTATTTCTCCCTTTGTGTGATGATGTGACCCTTAGGATGTTTTCTTTCATACTCTTGTAGGTCGTATGATTCATATCATTCCTGTTGCTCTCCAAGTCAGGCTCACCTCACTGCCATTCTTTGAGTCCTAAGAAAGAGGACGGCTATTGTAGTGTAATGCATGCTGGACAGGACTTCAGGAGATTATTGGTCATGTCGAACTACCACAAAAGTGAGTGCTACCTTACACTACAAAGATAGTTTCTTAATTTCAGCCACATATTTATCAGAAATCAGGTTTGCTTCTCCTTAAAAAGCCTCCACTTATGTGCTTCAGTTTTTTTTCTTACAAAGACTCCTGATTCTCCCGTGCTGGGAGACACAGACAAAGAAAAAAACAAAAACAAAACCAACCCCAAACTTCGTAACGGAGAAGCTCCAGCGCTCTAACTGCCAAGCGCATCAGCTGTTCTTTCCCACAAGAGGGAGCTCCATGGTCAGTTCGGTGCTCTGTTTCTGCTGGAAAGGCCGGGCGAGCCAGCAGAGGGTGCGTGCTGGATACGCCTGTTGTTCAGCCCCCTCAGCGCAGCACTCACTGCTACAAATACAGATACGTGTCTGCCGCTATGGCCTTAATGAAATTTTGTACGCTCTTAAAATGAATGCATAAAGGAACAGCATCAATTCAGAGACCACTTGAACGCTCACGGAATTTCTGATGTTGTACCTCAATAAACACAGAGGGTGCAGTTGTTTAATAGTATTTGCCACAAGTGAATTGTACATACAGAAAGGCCTCCTATGATCCTTTAGAATTCTTGCTGCATCTGGAAATGGCACAGATATGAGAAAAGTGAGCCAAAAATAGAAAACACTCCAGAAATAATTTTAAAAATAACAACAAAACCAATGGTACTGAATTAAAAGCAGTGTCCAGATTCACAACACATCCCCATGGTGTAATATATGTGCCAATATTACAACCATGCTAGCACAGTCTTAAATTTAAACTTACTAGAAATACATTGCATGTCAGAATGTCAGTGGTCAAACAGGCATGAAGGCAAACAGTAGCAATAGTGAAAAGCCAATTGTTGTCTTCCTGTGAAACACTGAGATTTCTTGGAAGGCTTGTATAGATATTGACTAGGTATACAGATTTTATTATGATTTTGATTATAACCTGTTTTTCGTATAGATCAGCCGATGCATTAAAAGCTGAGAAAACAAATGCAGGAAAAGAGGTTAGGGGCAGAAACAAACAGCAAGGGGGATGCGCTATTTGAAGCTGTGAACGCGTGATTAGCCATTTGTGATGACTGAAAATACTTTGTGTTGTCTCAGAACACGGAGAGGAAAGTGGTTTAGTGGGTTGTGAAGCACTGCATATTTTGAAGCTAAGACAACTGCCCCTCTGGAGCTGTGCTTCTCACTCTTAAGGAATTACACCAGTTGTTGCTGGGGCTATATTCCACCATCTTTTTTCAAAAAATTTGTGATAAAAGATATACATCACTTGGCTGGTTTGTCCCACATCAGGTATAAAAGGAGCAGGTTTATGAAGGATACTGAGATGTGCAACGTTTCACTTTTCTCATCATCCAGAAAGGAAATATGGTAATAAATATATCTATAATTCTTTTCCAGAGGTTGAATTAGTACGTGGAAAGGGCTTAAGCAAGGCTATGTGCCATGGTTTGAAAAGCAGGATAGTAAGCAGCCAAATTCTGGTCACAGCTCACCACCCTTCACCCAGAGCTGGAGAGTGGTGCTCTGAGTTGTTTTGGCTAGCATAATATATAGGGCAAAAGTGAGAGTGATGATGGAACAAAGCAGGTTTGGTTACCGATATCATAGCGATTTTGAGTACCAGCATGTCGTTTATCGGTGTACCTGATCGTGAAGGAAGGCTTGAATGAATGAAGTGCCTACTAATAAACAGCCTTTGCAGCTGTGGGGGCAAACGTGACCTTCGAAGGTGAGCTGCATCCGCGCCCGAGGGGAGCGCTGCTCCGAGCACAGGGCAGGGCGCTGCTGTTTATGCACGGGACGAGAGGGCGTGGATGCAGGGGCGGTCCGCACACAGGGACGTGCCTCGTCCGAGCCGAGGTCTGCTGGCGCCCGGCTCGGTTGGTGAGCGGTCCGTGGCCGCAAGCGCGAGCTGACGGGCGTGTACACGGTGTGCAAATCCGCGCCTTTGTCTCCCCGGCGGCCGCCTCCGAGCGTGCCGGCGGGAGCGGCTCCGGGCCGGCTCCCCCGAGCCCGGCGGGATCCTGCGGGCACGGCCTCCCTCCGCCGGCCCGGGCTGCCCCTTTAAGAGAGGCCCCGGCGCCGTGTCAATCGCCGCGCCCGGCTCTTTTCCTCTCCTCCCCTTCCGCAGCGCTGCGATTCGGGGTGCCGCCGCCAGAGCCGGGCCGCGCGATGGGCAGCCGCGGGCAGCTGCCGGAGCCGCGCCGCCGACCGCCGTCAGAGCCGCGCCGGGGGGGCTCCTGCGGGGCCGCGGGGCGTTCGGGCACCGAAGGGTAGCGGCGGGGACGGCCGCGGGACGCGCCGACGCTCCGGAGAGCGTGTGCGCCCGGAGGACAGCACAATAGCCGGGAGGAGGAGACAGGGAAAGGGGCAGGGGGAAAGGAGGAGAGAGAAAGAGAAAGCACAACACGGGGGCTGGCAAGGGGAGGACGGAGCGGAGGGCTCCCGAGCGCGGCGGCGCTGAGGACCGTGGCCGGGACGGCGGCGGCAGGAGGTGGGTGGATGGGTGGGGGGCGATATTTACCTTTCCTCCCCCGCCCCGAGCCAGCTCCTTTGTCCACCCCCCTTTGAAGTGCTATGGAGTCGCCGGGGTGGGAGCATTGTTGTTCGCTAGCGAAAGATCAGTCATGAAGGGGGGAGAGTAGCGAGCATACGTGTGGTTGGGGACGGCAAGAGGTGGAGGAGACGAGGAGGAGAGATTGTTCCGAGGATCGCCGTTTGCCTCCCAGTTTCTCTGCATGGACCGTGAAAGAAACGCGCTGAGTTGACCCTGTCGGAGCTGTTTCGGCTTCTACATGTGAGATCCGGTTGGTTTATTCTCTCCACCTATCTCTCTCCAGCTTCCTTCCCTTATTCTCCACTTACTCCTGTATGCAAAATGGTGGACCCTGTGGGGTTTGTAGAGGCTTGGAAAGCGCAGTTTGCAGACTCTGAGCCTCCTAAAATGGAGCTGAAATCTGTGGGAGATATTGAACAGGAGCTGGAGATGTGCAAAGCGTCTATCCGGAGACTGGAGATGGAGGTCAACAAGGAGAGGTTCCGCATGATTTACCTGCAGACTCTTCTGGCAAAGGAGAAAAAAAGCTACGATAGACAGAGATGGGGCTTTAAACGTGCTTCTCAGTTGCCTGAAGGGGGTGCTGACCAGCAGGTCCAAGACCTGCCTCATCACCAGTCTGCTGACCAGGATGAACATGAAAAAAACAAGTCGCACCATGGGGAGGAAAAGTTCAAACCCAGGATGCCTTCTCTGCGAAAGCTGTCTACTCAGAGCGATGGGTCAGACCTGTCACCTTTGGACAGTCCCCATCATGGAGAAGGAGAACAGGACAGGTGTAAGTATTATGGCGAGGAGAAATTGAAGAGAGTTGTAGAAGATACAGAAAGTCGCTGTGACACAGATGGATCTCCTTCAAAACACAGATCGTCTTCCACTCGCAGGCTAGTGGGATCTGCTGAGAAGGAGGGATTGTTTGAACCTGTTTCCAAGGACAGAGGGAACAGCACCAGTGTGGCAGCCCTAAGGTCCAATTTTGAGAGGATTAAAAAGGGCAATTCACATCATTCTGGAGATAACAAGGATGTTGTTGAAAAACCCTTTTATGTAAACATGGAGTATCATCATGAGAAAGGTCTAGTGAAGGTCAACGATAAAGATGTTTCTGATAAAATAAGCTCTCTTGGTAGTCAAGCCATGCAAATGGAACGCAAAAAGTCCTTACACTCCCTTCCTTCAAATATGGTACCCAGCTTCAACGAATTCCAGCGGCCTGCTTACAGGGGGAGGTCCTCAGAGAGCAGTTTTGGCTATGATGGAGAATATGAAGATGCTGAACTGAACCCCAGGTTTCTCAAAGATAATCTGATAAATGCCAATGGCAGCAACCGCTCGCCTTGGCAGCCCATGGACTTTCAACCTTATCAAAGTATCTATGTTGGTGGAATGATGGGAGAAACAGAAGGGAAAGGACCTATCCTGAGAAATCAGGGTACGACGGACCAGGAGAAACATCTCACTTGGCCTAGGAGATCTTATTCCCCCAGGAGTTTTGAAGACATTGGAGGAGGATATACTCCTGATTGTAGCTCTAATGAGAACCTTACCTCCAGTGAGGAGGATTTCTCTTCAGGGCAGTCCAGCCACGTCTCCCCCAGTCCCACCACTTACCGCATGTATCGGGATAAAAGTCGTTCTCCCTCCCAGAACTCTCAGCAGTCCTTTGACAGTAGCAGTCCACCAACTCCTCAGTCTCAGAAACGGCACAGGCAGCAGCAGGTCATTGTATCTGAGGCTACTATCGTGGGCGTACGAAAAACGGGACAGATCTGGCCAAGCGATGGAGATTTGCCTTCTGGGAGATGTCACCAAGACAGCCTCTTCCATGGAGATGCAGGTGTGTACCAGCTTTTCATTTTATGTTTTTTAAAATGCATAGAGCATAAATGGCATCATAGGCGTTCATAGGAGAGGTTTTCTAGACGAACCTGGTTGAATCACCCAAAGAGGGAAACTGTTCAGTATAAAAAATCTGTTCACCTTGTAGTTCTGTTTCAGAAAAGTCCTGCAGAAGTACTCCTCAGACTGCTCTTCAGTCTTCTCTTGAGAGAATCAGCTGAGTCCGATGTTAATCAGCTCTCTAAGTTTTGGTGTGATTGCTGAGGTAAAAGGGGGCCAGAACTGTTCAGTGTTCATAAACAGATCACTCCTTTCCTCTTACTCTTTCACTGAGGAGTAGTTAAACTCTGCCTCCGAGGTGGTAGCATGTCAACGTGCTACAGCCTGAGGGTTTTGCTGGAGCTTTACCAATAATCATACTCTTTCCACAGTCTTGTTTTTTTCCTGCCTGTATTAATTGGAGTGCCAGATTCTCATTCTGTCATCCTTCAATTATAGCTGATTGGAAGTGATGATTGTGCAACCCTGTTGAAGCTTTCTGCTGTCACTAAGTGAGGGAATAACTATGAGTATCAGGAAGCCCTGAGGGAGTGCTCTTAATTTAATTTTAGCAGAATCATAATTTTTGTTTGGGGAAGAATGGGCCATGTTTGAACTCATTCTTGTGTAAAACATTCAGGCATGCAGACTTCTGTGGAATTGCAGTGAATTTCAAGGTGGTGGAAGAAGTGAACAGTGATCTATGTTAATTCAAGTAAACTTACTGAATGCGTGTGGACACCTCAATCTATTCAGCAAGGCAACATACCTAATTGTACATTATCGCAGGCAGTATCTTGTATTAACATTGCCATTGGTCTTCTATGCAGTACATGAAAAAGCAATCAAATCCAGGAACAAAAGAGCAGTATGGTTGTTTTGACAGACTTCTGTCAGTCTAGATCTGCGAGTTACTTTGCGTTCTGCTTTTATTCTTTAACTGTGTCATTTTAACAAGTCGTTAACCTATTTGTTAACGTGATTGAACTGTTGAAGTAGCAGGTGAATGAGTCCTATCAGAGATGTTACTTTCTCAGCCTCTGTACGTTTGGTGTAAAGTAACTGCTGAAAGGAGATCCTTGGTTTTACTTTCCCTGCTGATTTTCCGCTTATTTGTTTTGCCAGCAGTACTTCTGGGAGCAACAGCAGGGGAGAAATCTTTCCTCACACCCTCTGCCATCCTTATAACCAATTATTTGATTAGAAAAGGCTGTCCAGTTGAAATGAATGTTCACTGTACATGGAACCTCAGCATCCTGTCCTCATAGTGACTTCTTCCTTATCTGATTATAGATACGTACTTGCTTTCTATCTGGGACTACTGCATTCTTGTTTGGTCTTATGCATATGTTTGTATCTTCCAGGGAGCGCTAGCAGTGCAGGAGAGGCTGGGTGTAGTGCTGTTTTATACTGAGCTGCAGCCATCTGTCTCTGCTCTTGTTTACTGATGCTCTTTAGATGACTGGAAGCCTCCTGGCAGTTGCAGTTTTTGCAGAAGGAAACAAAGGACATAAACAACAAGGGTCGATAAAGCTTGAGGATAAATTCAGCTTTCAGAAATTGAATAAATGAGTTTTATTTTAAATAGTTTAGCTCATGCTTTGTGGGTTGCGTTAAGAGTAAAATGGGCTGCTGAAAACTCAGAACAGTTAAAATTTCTGGTTGTGCTGGAAAGCCTAGTGTTTGTTCCTAAGCTTGGCCATGCAATTGCAGGCAAGGACAGAATGTAACTGATTCCCCTTCTGCTTTCCTCAGCAAAGGGGGTTACACGGCAAGCTTAGCAGGAACCTTCACCATATGGCTCATCCTTACTGTCTTGCACGTTAGCTGGTGGCAACTTCTTACTTCTCCTGAAGTCACAAGCCTTCTTGGTTGACTGTGGTTCTAACTAATTCTAACAGCATCATTTTATATATATATATATATTCTTTCCTGATTAGAAAGACTTATCTGAATCTAATTGGTAAAACCTCTTTCTCATAAAACAAACAAAAGAGACATGAGTGATCACTGTGTAGCTGGTTGGCTACTGTTCCCAACATCCATGCACTGATGCGGACTGTTCTACATCACTGCATGACATGAAGGGAGTTCACAGACCCAGCCAGCTTTTCTTGCACCTGTGGTTCAGCTTCAAGTTCCATCAGTCTTCCCTGAAGTTGTACTTGAGCAGAGTGCAAGTTTAAATCATAACAGGTTCTGGCCAGCCTTATTGTTAATCAGCACCAAGTGGGATTTGTTCAACAGTATTTGATTTCTTTGCACATTCAGATTTTTGTATGCTTTTTGGCTTAGTTTTTCAAGTCTCTGCCCATAATAATGCTGAATGTGGTGTGGCAGGTGCGAAGTGAACTTTCTGTCTGGATCTGCCCTACCAGCGTGTATTAAGTTTGGCTGGCTGACGTGTGATATTTTATTTTAATTTGTGATTGAGTTCACACTCAAGTGATGGCTTGTTGCCTCTGTATTACAAAAAAAAAAAAAAAAAAAAAAAAGCTTAGGAGGAGGTCATCTACCTCTCAAATGAAAGAGATCTAAGTCAGTATTTGTATTTGGGTTCTTGGAGATGGGTTATATCCAAAACCTTAAATGAGACAGGGCAGTAGGCTTTCAGTTTATTTCAAGGAGCAGGAGGAGAGCTTGAGGGGTGAGATTTGATAATAACTGTACTTTCTGTTAAATGTACCTAATGGAGTCTCGGCAAATATATTTATGTTACAATGAATTATGTAGCACTAATTTCCTGCACTGGGAATAGAGAGAATCAAGTCTTAATTCTGCATTAAACTTGCATATTTTTACTGTGATTGTGGAGCAAAAGCAGTGTCTGTGTCTATATACATATATAAATAAAAGTCTGTCCTCTGTTAAATGGCAGTTGTAGACATAGAAATGAGAACCTACCCATCATACTTCTCTGCCTGATATTGAGAAGAGAGCCACTGTGCTGTTATGTAGTGAAGAGACATCACAGTGGCCTCAGTTGCTATTAAAAGTCTATTAATTGAGAGTTGATTAGAGTTGATCACTGCTTGATGTTATAGTTTGCTTTGTAAAACTCTCTCATACGTCTCTGTGTGAAAGAATTTGTATCTACTTGTATTACATCATGTAAACTGTATGGAGCCCTCATAGATAAGGAAGCAGCTCTACAGGTAAATACTGCAGGTTCCCCAGTGGTGACTTCTGTTCACTTGAAGTGACTGGATGGTGCTCTCCATAGACTTTAGTCACACTGTTTCAATAGAAAGATGCCAGCAGCTGTAGTGCTCAATATAAAGTCAGTTCAGGGATTCGTGTAATTTCATTTCATTGAAAGTAAATTTGTACTTCTGTTAGCCTCCTAAGTGTGGGAGTGTTGAATGTCCTTTCCTGAAGAGCATGGAGTGTTCTGTGCTTTCAGTGAGTTTGATGTAGCTGGATGGAAGAGTACTAGAATTTATCTGTGTGTGTGAACTGTAAAACTCAAAGCTCCTGTTACCTCAGCTGAGCAGAATACCATTTTAAATCATGCAATTGCTTAGATCCGTAGATTCTTCAGGTTTGTATGCCTTAAGTGCCTGACCACATAGCCACACCTCTGAATTTCCTGCTTTTAAGGTAATTCTTGCACTGTTTAGTTTTGAAACTCCAAAAAAGTGTGCTGCTCTGTACCAGTCCCCATGGGCGTTCTGTTCTTGAGTTGCTTGCATGTTCTGCATTTTGGATGAGTTTCTCAATTACACACTTCTTCCACCAGTATTGTCTTCTGTGGATTTTACAAAGTATAGTTTGAAAAGTGCTTTGCAATCTTTCAGCAGTATAAAGACAACTCACTGGGGGCAATAGCAGTGCTATTGCTGCTTAGAAACAACGCTCCTCTTTGAGAAAGAGGTGGGCTTTAGTCTCCTGTGTAGCAATCCTTCCATCTGAGGACCTGAAGTGTAGGAACTTCCATCACGTGTAGCTTATTTACTCCTTTAAAGGGCTACTGGCTACAGGTCCTGCTGTCAGTCAGTGACCTATCAGAGTCAGGAATGAGATTTATACTTTCTTTGACACTTCTTTAGTTCATTTAGCTATTATTTTTTTGAAACATCTTTTAATCCTTCGCTGTGATTGTCAGTGGATTTCCTAGGGATACTGATGACAAGATGTTTAAGCGCTTTCCTCCCTCCGCCCAGTTCTTTCCAGAGATTTAGTGGCTTTTGAGATTATCTAGCTGCTTGTCCTACCACTCCCCTCCTCATAATCTGAATGAAGATTTCCCTCTCTCTCTTTTTCTGCCAGATTTCTCTCTCCCTTCAGCTGAGTTTAAGGAAATCTGTGAGGCTTCCATTTGATGTCCCCGCTGACTGTAGTGGACTCTCCAGTCCTTTTCTTTGTTGTGATTTGTTTTGTTTATACCATAAACTGCTACTGGCCCTTACTTACATCAAGCCCTCTATCAGTAGTGACATGCAGACAGACAGATTTTATTTTTACTTTTCTTAGGGCAACCCTAGATCACAGAACACCTCCCACCACAAACTTTAGCTTCTTCTGCAGTCATAAAGCAGCTGCTTTTGAAATGAGAGGGTAAGCCAACCCAGATAGTAGTTGCCTGATACTTTAGGGAAACCCTAAAAAGTACAGATGACACCTGATTTGTCTGTACGAACCTCAGTTTTGTGGTCCATAACAGAAATACTGAAATGGAACTGGTTTTCCCACGAAGTAAATAGACCAGATTATGCATTCTGGCAGTGGTAGGTCTGGGAGTAACGGATTAGGTATAAAGAAGCTTGTCATCCTGTGTAATACTAGCAGTTTTAGAGTGGCCCATGTGGCAGCAGAGATGAGTCCACTTTCTGCAGCTGCCATAGCTGCATGATGGCCTCCTAGGCAGGCAGGCAGCTGGGTACATTAAATGTAATTCCGGAGTGTGCCTGAAGTTTGGGAGTGTTTTAGAAGCATGAGACTAGGACTGAGTGGCAGCAG